TTCATGTTTGGTAACGTATCAGCAGCCTGAACCCTCACTGATGCCGTTAAACTGTCTGCTGCTTCCATCTAGTGTCCACAGACATGTACTGCTGCACCAGAACCTGATGGAAGCTTGTGGGTCATGAATGGGTGATTAAAGGGTGCAACAAAGTGGATCTATCTTCCAGCTGTGAGTCCAGGTGGTCTGTTGTAATGTTGTAAGAATACTGGAGGGAATGAAAGCTTTAACTGTGGAGACCAGTTCTGTTGTCATGTTTAATCAAAGAGCAGATTTAAACACTGATTGTCAAGTGAAGAAAGTTGATCTGTGGTTATTATTTTGAGGTGGTTCCTCCATCCTTCCCTCTAAACTCTCACCTATCCGTCCGTCTCCCGTCGCTGCACATCCTCCCCGGTGGGATGAAACATGAACACCAAACAGCTTCTTCCCAGAGGCCGAGCTGAGGGACCGCTTGTCCAGCCCGACAGATGCGCCTTTGGGTGACGACACAGAGCAGAAGGTGAATGAATAATTGATCCGAATGAATCTAATTATTGAATCTGTTGGGCTGAAGCCTTCAGTTTGTATTGTTGGTGGGAAGAGACGCGTTTAAACACAGAACCATATGGCCCGATCAGTCCGGTCTCATTTAACTCTCCAAGCTGTTTAGCTACCAGCACATTTCAGGACTCAGAACAAAGCAAGCTAACTGGGCTGGTTGACAGAGTGATTCATGTCGACACCAGTCAGCCTGATTTAAAGAGTATTTGGATTAATATGTGTCCTCTGTGGTTCTGGGTAAAACAGAAAGTGAGCAGGATACAGCAGCACTGGTTCTCTGGGCTGATAAGACATGAATCATATCGATTACTGTCGTATTAGTCTGTGGGAATTATATCTAAGGCTGGTTTAGCCAGAAGCCAAAGCATGCAGCCGTCCTGGAAAAAGCCCTCGTGTAGAACGGTCCATGTTCACACCTCAGAACTGGTTTAGTAGAGAATCTGCTCACAATGGTATATCAGCCACTATTGTCTTAACCTAAATTATAGAATAGAACAGAATTATTTTATTGTATTTACACACCACAAGGCCGCCGCTTTAGCTCACCTGGATGAGATGGCGACCCATGTACAGGGACTATAGTCTCCGATGCAGCGGCCATGACTTTGAATCCCGCTCATGGCCCTTTGCTGCAACCCATTCTCCTCCCTGATGTTCCTGTCTCTCCTTCGACTGTCCTATACAATAAAGGCAAAAAGGCCAAAAAAATAAATTAAAAAAACAAAAAACATTTACATGCCACAGCAGCATCCAAAAAATATAGACGGGAAGTACAAGGAAATAACAATAATTAAGAAATACAATGAGTATGTACACAAGATGACAAAAATATAGTATTGAATGAAAAAATATAAAATATTTACACTTAAAAAGACACAGACTGTGCAAAAATGAATTATAACCATGTGTTCATTTTGTCTGTTTGATTAACACCAGCCACTTTTATATATACAGTTTATATATTATTTAACCCTATATATATAAATATATATATATATTATTTTATTTTATTTTATTTTATTTTTTTAAAAACACGCATATTACTGTCTTGCCTGATAATTGCTGTTACACTGCTTCTGTGTCTTTATGTTATATTAAATATGAGGCTATAGCCAGCAGCTGTTAGCTTAGCTTAGCACAAAACCAGTGGGGAAACAGCTAGCGAGCCTCTACCTGAACAAAATCCACCAACTGATTCATTCTGATTGTTCTGTATCTCTGCTCAGATCCTCAGTCCTTCAGGTGCTTCATGAGCTTCTCCGTCCAGAACAGAGGAGATAAAGGCAGAGAAGTCGAGGGAGCTTCTGTTAAACTATAATCTCCGAGCAGAGGAGGGAGTTTACGACACCATTCATCAGCTGCCTTTAACTCCGTCCTGACATCCTCAGACAGTTTCACCGCCGCTGACTGGGGATGATGTCATTCACCTGGACCGTCCTACAAGTCAGTGAGACCTGAAGAAGCCTCCTGGATGAGAAGTGAAACCAAAGCGAGTCTGTTCTCGGCTCTCAATTCAAGCTCTTAGAATAGTATAACATGAACTTTTGAGTCACACGGTGCAGCGACTCCCAGCAGCTTCTTGTTGCCTGGCAACCTCATAATTACAGCAAGAGAGAACTCGTATAAACCCACAACAGATCTGATGCATCCAGAACCACTGAGCCCACCCGTCACCGTTATATCTGAGTGAATGAGCGTGTTCAATGTTCTTTACGTTTCAGAGATGCTCGCTTTAGCCGCTCTGTGTGAGTCAGTGATGAGCATCCTGACACGGTTAGAAAGTGTGACGAGTTTCACTTTACTGCTACGACTAAGTCAGCTATCGAGCATCCTTCATGAGGACCAGAGAGTATTTACTGAGCGAGCACTGTTTTGTATGAGTTCCACATCAGATAGGACAGTTATGTAACTGTGGAGTGGCCCGGTTTGGTCCCCTTTGCTTGAAGCCAGTCTAGCTCTTTCTGAGCTGTTGCTGGAGTTTCCTGCACCCAAAGCCTCCATTCAAAAACACTCACTGCTGTTTTTAGTGTGTTTCCAGGATCCTCTAAGACCCCATCTGGATGACAGAAGCGCACACAGACTAAAAGATGGTTTTAAAACCTGTAAATGTTTAATTGGCTGTCTTGCAGCTGACTGTCCGCCATCTTTGTTTGGGAACTCTGGGCAAAGGCATTTTAAATGTTCATTATCATTCAGCAGACAGGATATTTATCATGCACAATTTACACAATTCTGGGAAAGAAATGCTCAGAAACAGGCTTTGTGGATGCACATCTGGACACTGTGCTGTGAGCCCGTCCTGCTCGGTCCGGTTACAGAGGCTGTAAACATCTCTGTGAGACTTGGATGTGTGCTTCAGGTCATTCTCTTGCTGGAAAACAAATATTTTCTCGAGTCAGACTGCATCAGGTCGTCTCCCAGGATTTCCCTACATGTTGCTGCTTTCATTCTACCCTCTGCTGTAACGCACTTTTCTCCTCACTGAGTATTTCTCCTTTTAGTCGTCTGCAGGTGATCCAGAATGCTGCTGCAGGACCACTACCTACATCAAACAGACGCTCTCATATCAGCCCAATGCTAAAATCCCTTCACTGGCTCCCTGTCACATCCAGGATCCAGGTCAAAATCCTAATCCTTACCTGCAGAGCATTACGGGCTCCTGCTTCTGTTGCTGAGCTACTTCATATCAGCCAGTTTGTTCTCTCAGGTCGAATGTGTTAAATGTGCTGTTTGTCCCTCAGACTCGCCTTAAGGTGACTGAGCTTCTTTTTGCCTGCACCTGTACGCTCTGCTGAGTCTCTGTTTCTTGTTAAAGCCAGTTAAAGACACACCTGTTCAGACAGGCTTGTATGCAACAGCTCTGTATTTGCTTTATTTTTGTGTATTATTGTTGTGTGCTGAGTATTGAGCAGTTTTAACTCCATCAATCTGATAGTCACTTTATTGTTTCTGTGTTTTTCTGTATTTTCATTCTGCCTTTGTAAAGCACTTTGTGACCTTTGTATGTGAAAAGCGCTTTATAAATACATTTTATTTACTTAACTTTACAAGTCCTCCAGGGCCTGCTGTCAAGAAGCATCTCCACATCATACTGCCACCACTGTGCTTCACACCATGATGCTTCAGAGGAGTCACAGGTGTCTTGGTGGCCTCCCTCACTAGTCTCCTTCTTGTAACTCCTTCAGAGGAGTCGTAGGCATAGTGCTGAAACAGATAAGTCACTTTAAAGAGTGTGACAACTTATGCAATCACTTATTTTTACATTCTATATTTTTAGCTATAGAATCTACTTTCACTTTGACATGAAAGAGTCTTATTTTTTGGAAATAAAAATTTTTTTTTTAATGTTTTTGCCAAAAAGCCTGTTTAAATTTAACATGATTCAGTGTTGAAAAGCAATAAGAAGGTTCCAATTATTGGTAATATAAACTGGTTATTGTGGAGTAAGTTTGGTTTAGTATATTTTTAACAATGATGTGCTGGCCACATGTACTCAGACACTTATAGTGTTTAACAAACGTATTAGACCGTCTGTCTAATGTGTTAAGCACTATATATATGTATACATATATAAAGACCATCCAGCATCATGAAGTGCTTTAATGCAGACTCAGCTCTCTTTGTTTTACTATTTTGAACATACTCAGATTTGAACTACTGGGCTTCTCTGAGAAGTCAGAAATTACAATCAGCCACTAAAACAAAAAAAAATTCTGTTCAGGAATGCAAAGTGAAATGAAACTAAATAAATATAAATTCACGTCTTAATCAAGTAATAATGATGTGCTTTACTATTTTTCCTGTTTAGAATTTGTATTTTTTTGCAAAACAGTAAATTAGAAAATTCCTGGATAACAAAAATAAGTATATTTTAGCTTTAAAAATATCGTTTTGATTACAGAGCTTCTGTTAATGCTGGTGTATTAACCATTACAAAAACACTAAAAAAAAGATTTTGTTAATTTAGGGCAGCTGTGGCATTAACCTTACACTGGGTGGAGGTCGAATTAGTTATCCTGTAAACTGGTTATTCTGGACTAAGAGCAAAGCTTTGTGTCGTATATGTTGATTTTAGGATGCTGTGATGTCCACATGCAGTCACACAGTTACGGCACATGGCACGTAATTGCGCGGTAAGTCCCGGTGGGACCCTCCGGTGGCCCTGAGCTGAACATACCAGCCCTACAGCACATGTGTCCGTGTCTGTGGACCTGTGGGCTGCTCGGTATTTCCCCACGAAACTCTGTCGTCACCGAGTCACGACTGGTGCGCGTAACGTGTAGATGCCATGATCATGTTCCTCCTCCTCCTCCTCCTCCTCCTCCTCCTCATCTTTCACATACACTAGGGTTGTTTTTCTCCCTTTGCAACACGCAAATGGCCATGCAATAAACAGAGCAGCTCTCCCTCCGTGCAGTGCGGTCTTCCACAGCCTCCCTTCGTGCAGCAGCAGCAGCATGCAGGCGGCAGCTGACAGCGACGCTCCTGTCAACAGTGGCAGCAGCAGCAGCGGCACCGCAGACGTCGACGACAGAGACGGGGCAGGGGAGAGGATGGAGAGGACGGTGCCAAGCGAGCAGCAGGACCGGACCAACAACCAGCAGCAGCAGCAGCAGCGGTGGCAACAGCAGTAGCAACAGCAGTGGCAACAGTGGCAGCAGCAGCAGCGGCACCGCAGACGTCGACGACAGAGACGGGGCAGGGGAGAGGATGGAGAGGACGGTGCCAAGCGAGCAGCAGGACCGGACCAACAACCAGCAGCAGCAGCAGCAGACGTCCTCCACGTCGTCCGGTGTGCTCGGTGAGTACCACTGAGGAACCGTGAGAGAGGAGAGGAAGCTGCTGGTTCGGTGCGTAATAATAGAGAAGAATGAGGATGATGGAGACGAGGCGAGCAATATGGTGCAGTCACTGGTGCTTAATAGACCTGAGTGAATGACTCACAGGAGACAGGACGGGTCAGTCGTCTGTGATTGGGTTTCGGTGGGTCCGTCCTTTTTTCCTCCCCGCTACATAGTGCGCACTCCGGTTCGGGCAGGCCGCTCCGGGAGTCCGGCTCCGTGGTCCACAGGTGCAGGCATGCAGGAGCGTTGTGCAGCCGAGGCGCATGTCCCGGCGGGCTGTGCTGCTCTCTGTGTCCGAGTGTTCTCAGGTGTAGAAGTGGAGAAGCACCACGGCGGTGAGTAAGCAGGCGGCTGGTTGCTATGGCCGTTTGTGGAACTGCACGGTGAGCTGCACTGAAGATGGTATCTTCTGTAATGTTTGCTGCGTTCAGCTGTGAGTTCTGTGACTTTCCTGTGGGGCTCAGATCCAGGGCCCTGGTCCATGTCTGGGCCCCTGAATCATTTATACTGAACAGAAATATCGAGGCTGCATGTGATATTTTATTCCATTCTGTCTACTCTTCTTCTTTTCTTCATAGGGCAATAAGTATTGTTTTAAAACACAGCATCTCTCCAACAGGATGGATGTCAGGCAGGAGAGTGGGCTCATAGAGCAGAAATCACAAGTCAGTAAATCAAACTGAGAGTCAGTGAGGTTGTGGGTGACGTTTGCTGAATGTTGTCCCAGTGTTGCTGAAGGGTTCGGGAAAGCTGGTGGAGATTGTTGGGGCATCTCATGGTGGACATGTCCATCCACAGCATCATGTGGGCGATTGGTTGTCCTACCAAGCTGTCTGGAATAATTTCTTGGATGACAAATGGTGGCGTTGTGGACATTTAAGTGTCTGGCTACAGCCCAAAACAGCGTCTTCTTCTTCTTCTTCTTGCCATTTAAAGGTGACTTTTATAGTCACTGTTCATAGAGTGTATGCGTCCATCTTTTCTACTGGACTAAAGCATACCAGTTAGATTTTTAACTTGTCCTCTAAGTCAGAAAAGAAGACATGTGCATGCTGGAGATCATTTTTGTTCACTTTAGTGTATGGTGCTGTCTGTCCAGTACGTCTTTGACACACGCCTCCCACACATAGAGTCAGTGAGGTTGTTGGCTGTGGTCCTTCTCTTCCTGAAAGGCTCGGTGCCGCTGGTGGACATTTTTTGGGGAGAAAAGGTTACACTGCCTGTCAAGAGCGTCATGCTGCAGATGGTCCGTCCTACCAGGCTGTCTGAAAGGATTCGCAGACAACCAGTGGGGGAGTCGGGGACATTTCGGTGCCTGGTTATGGCCCTAACTGACATCCAGCATGTCAGCAGCTTCCTCTTGTCCTCTGTGGCGTCGTGTCGTTCGCATGAAGCTGCATTTTGAGGTGGACTTTTATAGTCACTGGTCGACGGAGCGTCTGCGTATTGATCGCTGTCCTTTAAAGCCAAACGTGACGAGAATGTGGATTCGCTCAGTGGGGAGCAGTTAAAGGGATTTTACTAAACAAGTGGCTGTGTTTGTTCCCTCTCTGACTGGTGTTGTGGAACTTCAGTAAAGTGGAGAGAGGATGAGGAGGCCGACACAAAGAGACACGAATAAGGTTCACTGATCAGGAGAAGTGGCAGCAGCAGAGCAGCAGTTCATGCAGGCAAGGCCAGCATCAGTTCTGAGGATTCTCTCGAGCTTAGACCTCATACCCTATGGCCACATCTAGATTTATGGATGGAAGGGGAAACAAGAAGATAGCTCAGCACCTTAGTGCGATCTGGGCTTGAGAAGAACAAGGTCTGCCCTCATACAACACATCTACCTGGAGTCAAGATCCTGTAGAAGAAGGTTTGTAGACTGGTTTGTTGTAGGTTTATAGACTGATGTCATACGATATCCGTTTGGGGAGGTCAGTAGAAGTTTTATCAGATAAAAGGTCATCTTCAGAGGCTCAACTACAGAGAGAGCAAAGTAATGTTCCTTCACAATCAGATAGGCCAGGTAGATTGGTGGTTAGCACTGTCACCTCGCAGCTAGAAGGTCGCCGGTTGGCATCCCGGTGAGGACACCCAGGACCTTCCTGCGTGGAGTCTCCATGTTCTCCCCGTGCAGCGTGGGTTCTCTCCGGGTTCTCCGGCTTCCTCCCACAGTCCAGAAACATGCTGAGGTTAATTGGTGATTGTAAATTGTCCGTAGGTGTGAATGTGAGTGTGCTTGGTTGTCTGTCTCTAAGTGTAGCCCTGTGATAGACTGGTTACCTGTCCAGGTGAACCTGCCTTCACCCTGAGTCAGCTGGGATAGGCTCCACCCCCCACAACCCTAGTGAGGATTAAGGTGTAGAGATGATGGATGGACGGAACCAGAGCAATAGAAATGTGATTATCAACTTTCTCTCTAAGTCAAAAAGGAAGACCTTACATGCTGCGTTTTATTTTTGTTCAGTTCTTGTACCATCCGTGCCGTAGCTCTGGTGGAGGCTCAGGTGACGGCCGGCCCTTTGATCACATCATGCTTTGGGTATTCGCCTCGCTGCAGCTGCTGCTTTGATTCACTCGCTGACTTTTTGGTTACAACATCATCTCTAAACGTTCCTCTAAGAACGCTGTCAACTTAAAGCGTTCTCGCTCTCAGCCTGGAGTGATGCTAACAGATCAGACCCTCCTACAGCAGTGTAGTGGTCCAGCTGTAGCACATGGATGATCATGTAGCTCATATCCACACAGGCTGATCACCACAGCTTCTCTTTTTTGTCGTATCATCTGAGTTGTCTGCATTTGTGTGTCTGTTCATGGCTGCGTCTCAGGCCTGCTTCTTGTCCATATCATGCTGGTAAACGACCCAGACGGACCTCGGCACTGCTGGCTGTCTGAGTCCAAAATGAATATTTAAATTGACAACAAACATCAGACGCTGAGAGAAACAGTATCGACAGAACTGACCAACAGTCAAACAACTCATCTACGTTGGTGATATGAGCTAAAATGTGTATTATTGTATATGACTGGTGCTTCGTTGGATGTCGTTGGCGTATTTATTCAACATTCATGGAGCTCTGCGATATGGCTAAATGTAGGTCAGCAGAGTCATTATGGTGATGATCCAATAAAGTCTGGGTGATGCTGCCTGATGATAAAAAAGATAAATATCACTCTGCAATCATTTGTCTGTATTCACTCATATCTGCTGTATCTGTGTTTAGTGATAAGTTAGATGAAGCAATAGTTCATGTTGCTTGGTTCTCCTACCGGCGCTGCATTTTCATATCATTTAAATTAGATAGTAGGTTTAAGTAATGATTAACAAAGCAGGGATAAAGAAAACAGATATCCAGCCTACTGTAGCTCTACGCCCATTCTGTTGCATTTTGACATCAAATTGCATCATTATTATGTGATTATGTTGCTTTGGATGGATGAGTCGCTGCAGATTTGCACGTGGAAGATCCTTCATAGCTTTAATTATGTCACTGACAGCTGGGGAGGCTCAGAGTGCGCACAGGACAGAAACCAGAAGCTGTCACTGATCTGGCTGAGAACCCATCATTATGTTGTACACACACATCAGCAGAATGAAGAAGTGATTTACGCATCTCATCATGTTTCTACAGCAAAAACATGATAACCTCCTCCATCAGCACTTCAGGCCGACGAGACTTCGTGGCTTCGTGTGCTGCGGTCGCTTGGTGGGTTCGCAGGTTGACAACAAAGTCCTGCAAGACAGAGATGACAGCAGCACCGGCGGCTCGCAGGAGGAGGGATAGTGTGTGCTGGAAGTAGGGGGATGTGATGTGGTGATGCAGTTACGCTGCAGAATGTGAAATCCTGACCACGGACTCACACGGAGAGAGTGTCACAGTGTAACTCAGTGCACAATGAAGATATCGGTCAGTCACTGTGGCTGTTGTGCGTGCGTTAGGCAGAGCGTGAGCCGTGTGAAAGGAGAAGAAGAAGAAGCAGGACTACACAGAATAAACCACTGAGGCCTTTTGCTGTGCCTGCATTCAGCAGCTGTAGAGACGGGCTTGATAAAGGGGGATTGTTTGTGACTGTTTACTCACCAGCCAGCTCGTATGTTTGTTTGCTCGGTCATGTGACAGAGTGCTGCACAGTCAACCTTCACGCCGGCTGAGTAATTGTTTTCTGTCATTTTGTCACCATCACAGTGCAAAAAAGAAAGAAAAGCAGAAAAATATGGAGAAGCCGAGGCGTCAGCGATGAGCAGCAGAGTGATGCTAATGACTAACCTGTCATCTGTGTCCATGATCAGTATCACCATCTGTCAGTCTCGCACTCGCTTCCAAACCCTCCTGTTTTTTTTTTTTTTAACTCTATCCACCGCAGTCTGACTGAGTCTCACTTCTGTCCATCCTCCCTCTAGACAAACTGTTCGGGAAGCGACTTCTCCAGGCCCGACACTACATCATGTCTCGGAAGTCCTGGTTAAAAATGGTTCCCACTGAAAACTGTGACATCCTGATGGCGTTCCCAGGTACAGTGAGCTCCGGTCCGTCCTCTGTGTTTGTCCTGTGGTGAAGGGAACAGCACTCGTTAAACATCTTTGTCAGCCAGCCACTGTGTCACATGACAGGGCCTTAAAAACGGCCTTTGGGGACAATTAGACGGCATCCATTAGCCTGCACCTGTATCTACACACTGCTCCTGTATCTACACACTGCTCCTGTATCTACACACTGCTCCCCTCTGCAGTGTCTCTTTGTGGAGCTGCAGCCGAGTACATAAAACATGTCATTAAACATCCAGACGTGTGGTTCCAATATCACATCATATGTATTGTGTTGCATGCAAACAGCAGCAGCTCGGTGTGTTTTATCTGCAGGGGGCAGATATGTGGTTGCTTATGTAAGTGCTTATTCCATTTGTCAATCCCTACACGCAATCCTGCAAAGTGTACGAGTTGTCCTTCAACATGCGACTGCAGGGACACGTGTTTGACGTATAGAGATGTGATTTTTAAAACCGCTCTGTCTGTTAGAGAGATTTTACAACATCAGGTCTTAGAATGTCATTTTATCTGAAACAAAGAGATTGTTGATTATTTTGATTCATTCCAGTAAAACTAAAAGCAGCACAAATGTCAGGATTTGTCTCGACTCGACCCTTCAAGAATGTTTTTATCCAACATCAATGCAAAACAAATCAGAATAGAATAGAATAGAATAGAATGATTTTATTGTCATCATACACAAAGTACAACAACGTTAAAAGACAACTCCAGTGGTGCAAAATACAAGAATAAAAAAGACAAATAAGAAGAATATATAAATATATTTACAGAAGGAGCCAGTAGGACGTATATACAGTCAAGAATGAGCCACACGGTGGAATAAATACACTGCACTGTGGAGGTAAGAACACTGTGGATATATGAGAAATATAAATAATAGAAATACATGAATAATTATAGTTATACAATTCAAAATAATATATAATCATATATATAATATAATATATATGGATTATAGATACTTACAATATGGTATAACATAAATAATAAATATAAATGATCAGTAGTTCAGACCATAAATAAGTCGTGTTATGTGAAGACAAAGCTGCACTCTTGTTTAGATGCTTTTAAATTAAAAACAGATCTGAATATTCAACGTCTCCTTCTTTCACTACTCTGGAAGCAAATCTGGATCTGTGTCTATTAAAACAGAATAAACAGCAGCCTGGACAACAGCTTACCTTTAACTGACATTTCAGTTACTTCCTTCCATTCATTTACGCATCGAGCCGACGTTGCTCGTCTGATGTTTCCGCTGCCAGCTCCTCAGCCGTCCAGCGGCCTGCGCTGCTCATATACAGTCTGACAGTTCAGCCGCCTACGACGTTCGTACACTTCAGCTCCTCGTAGTAGCTCGACTTCAGCTGCAGCTCCCACACGCTTCACATGCTGCCAGGTAACACTTTAAGATACGCATGGACCTGCAGGTTTATTCGAGTAAGGAAGCACACTTACATTTTTGTCAGGAAGCGTAGCCTCTGTTAGTCTGTTAAAGCCAAATGACGCTGTTTGTGCTAAACACAGCAGCTCAGCAACGTGCCGAACGCAGTTGGTCCACATCACTGCTGGAGAATAACACTGACAGACAGAGATGTGGTTCTGAGATCACACTGTGAACATCATAACCTATTAGTCTGGTCTGGACCTTTACCATTTGCTCCTTCTGATCCACCGTCATGATATCTGTCACCTCTATCTGCTTGACAGTTAAAATCACGTCCATTTACATCATATATCCAAACCACACTGTATCTGATCTGAAGATGTAGAGAGAACAGGAGCCAGGTCTGTTGCGGGCAGCATTCAGCCCGACAACAACTAGAGCTGATGTTCTGCATCCAGTCAGCTGGAGTCTGATTGGAACCAGTCTGGGTTGCTGTGCTTCCTTTTCGCTGGCTGTTTGTAATCTATGTAGACAGGAATGCAATCAGAGTTTCCTTTTCCTGTCACCACCAATACGCTGCTCCATGGTTCTGACATCAGGACTGCGACCTGCCGCTTTGGTTCAGTCTCTTTATGCAGCAGCAGACTTAACTTTGCTTTTGGCAGGAGATGTTCAGGTGAGTGTAGGCAAAGAGCTGCTTCTGTTCACGATGCCATCAAACTTCAAATTAAAACGTTTCTCTCCTCCACCAGACACGATAGACGACCACACTCTGCTGTGGCTCCTCAACCAGATCCGGGTCGGAATCCCACAAGTCAGCATTCAGGTCCGGCAGCATAAACACACGCAGGCGCACGCCTTCTTCATCACCACCACGTTTGAGAAGTAAGACTCTGAAAACTCTGGCTTTGTGTGTCTGTGTGTATGTGCATGGTGTCTTTGTAAATGGACCCGTTTCAAACTATTCTGGCGTTTTACACCTTTGTTTTATTAACCTGTGCATGTGTGAGCTGTACTGAAGACAGACAGGATGTGAACAAAAAATTCAGTTCATTCGTCCAGCTTAGTTTCTGTGAGTTTTTGCATCTTGTATTTTGCAAAAGGATTTTTATTTCAAAGTCAGGGATGAGTCCATTCATGTCAGCTGACGTAAACACACATGATTATATGTATTTGCATGAATGAACTGTATATCTACATGTGAATTTACTTTTTATTCACTTTCTGGGTTTAAGTTGCGTTTAGTTAATGGACGAGCTAAAGGAATAGTTTAACATTTTGGCTGGAGCGGATTAGCCTAACTAGCATGTTAGCATAGTAATGCTAGCATCCGGTTAGCATAAAGAGGTAAAGCAGGGCAAAAAGCTGAACTGGATCCGTCCAAAGGTTTAAAAAAAATACTAACAGAAGCTCAAAAGGTCAGAAATTAACAAACCAGAAGTTTACGTCTACTGTATAAAAAGACACAAAACCTTTATTTTTTAATATCTGACATTAAATCAGACGAAACTTTTCCTGTTTTAGATCAGTCAGGATCACCAACATTATTTCTATTTGCTAAACGCCAGAATAATGAGAGAGAGATTTTTTTTTTTTTACTGCTTTCTTCAGTGTCAGAAGTTTCCATCCATCTCCTCAGTATTAGGTAGCATTGCCTTTAAACTCTATGACTTGGGTCAAACGTTCTGGGTTTCCTTCCACAAGCTTCTCACCACAGTCTGATGAGTTGTGGTCCATTCCTCCTGACAGAACCGGTGGAACTGGGTCAGGTTTGTTGGTCTCCTTGCTCCACTGATGTTCTCCAGGACTGAGATCAGGGCTTTGTGATGGCCACTCCACAACACTGACTCTGTTGTCCTGAAGCCTCTCTGTAGCTAATGTGGTGCTATGCTGAGGGTCATTGTCCATCTGAAGACCCATTAGTGCCCAAGCTTTAACTTCCTGCTGATGTCTGGAGATGTTGCTTCAATATCTCCACATCATGTTCTTTCCTCATGATGCCATCTGCAGTAGAACACCCCCACAACATGATGCTGCCACCCCCGTTCTCCACAGTTGGGATGGTTCCCCTTCATCTGATTTCATGTCAGACTGTGAGAAAAAAGGTTTTATGTCTTTTTATACAGTGGATGTAAACTTCTAGTTTTTTTAAATCTTTATTGAAAAAAAAAAAAGTGGTCCTTATGTGCGGGGCTATTTGTTGGTTAGCGCAGACTCCAGGAAGTCACTGTGCATGATTTACAACCCTTAGACAACAATGTGCTGTTTGTACAGAGTTTGTATTCGACATATTTATGCTGGTCTGCACATTGGTTTCACCTTTAGACAGAACCAGGCACACTGCTTCCTCCTGGTTTCCATCTTGCTAAGATAAGCTAAGCTAATTAACGCCATGTCATAGTAAATGCACACACATCAGTTTGATGTTGACCTTCTCTTCTACCTCTCAGCAAGAAGTTTCTCCAAAAATGCCAAAAACCATTCCTTTAAACACGTGTCAGCAGATTCAGAGTTCAGGAGCCACGCTGAGCACCGTCTCCCAGCTCCAGCTGTGTGCTGCAGCTTGTTCTGTGGAAGCCTCGGTGCTCTTAATCTACCAAACATCTGCAGTCCGGCCTCGGCGTTAGCGCTCCATCAGCTTTAATCCTGTTGTTCATTTGGCCTCTCCTCACCCTCAGCTTACTGCGAGGAGCCGAGCAGATGGGCATGCACAAGACCGTCAAACCACAGTTTGGTGGCGGGATGCGGCGCTTCTCCTGTGAGGAGGACAACATCTACGAGAACATAGAGAGCGAGCTCTGCTTCTTCACCTCTCAGGTCACAAGTCTAACCTGTTCAACAAGTTTTCCTCAGAGTTCCAGTGTCATACAGATGATCCTCCTGAGTAGAGGTGTGTTCTCCATCATGTGTCACTGATCGTCTCTGTTTACCTGTGCCTGTGTTCAGGAGCGTCAGAGCATCATTAAGTACTGGCTGGACAACCTGCGAGCCAAGCAGGGCGACGTGCTTCACAACATTCACTTCCTGGAGGGACAGCCAATCAGTACGTTCATATTTATTTATGTTTTTTTTTTTTTTCAGGCTGTTTCACATCTTTTCTTCTTCCCTTTAAATGCTTCTTAATGTAGCGCTGAGCCCAACCAGAGCCTTTCCTCGTGGACTAGTAGTCGTTAATTAAAGCCGTTAGTCAAACAGTCACTGCACATTTATAATATTGATTTATTTATTGAAATATATTTACTCAAACCATCAAAAATCGTCTGAGGAGGAATGTTATGAGTAACACTGAGTTCATTAGCAGGGAAATCCAACCAATCAGGAGCCTTTTCAGGATAATTATGCGCACATGAAGTGAGCCAAAGCAGCACCAACACCAGCAGTGATGATCCTGAATGTGTCGGAAAAACCATTTTATTAATGAGCCTCTTCACATAGTGGAGCAGGCGCCTCGTCCTTGGACCCGACACTGGTGCTGCCATCAGTCTGCCACCGGCCCGGCACAAACTGACACTCGACTGCTGCGGCGGCGGCCCGGTGTGCCATTGGTCCAATACTTTTACCGTTCTGTGCAGCTGCATGTCAGTGAATGAGAATGTTCTGTGTTCTTGGACTGCACGAGGAGGGCTCATTATGGGCTCATTCTTCATCCTGTTGAAATGATCCCATATTCTGGGTTTCCTATCAGGCTAATCCAATCACAGTCTAAAAGCTACATGTTCAGGATAACATCTGTCTCTCTGGGTCCCACCATTTTGTTTTTGTTCTGTGACCAACCGATGAATCGACGAGGGCTCTGCTCACCAACGCTGGTCGACGGTTAGACGGTTAGACGGTTAGACGTCAGCCCTGCTTAAATGTCTTTGAAGTCCTACCTGGTGCTTTGTGCGGCGGCTTTAATATGCAGCATTCATCTGAGCATCTGTTGTGCTAAAACAAACAGCGTGACTCACGGTGGTCAGGACGCCCTCTGTTCAGGTCGACCTCTTCAGCAACTTATAAACACGATTTTTTTAAAATGCTAATTTGTACGGGAAAGATGCACATTTCTTTAGAGATGCCATGTGTAAGTGTCCTGATGTGTCCTCTGTAGTTCCAGAGCTGGTGGCTCGGGGGGTGATCCATCAGATGTTCCCTCTTCACGAGCAGAGGATCCTCAACCAGCTGATGACGTCCTGGGTCCAGGCTGTCTGTGAAAGGCAGCCGCTCGGTAGGAAACGCCACGAGGATGTTTTAAAGAAAACATGGCTGGAGAGTCAAGACCAGGCCTGAAGTTTCCAAAATAACTAACACTATGAAGTGCAGTCGTGACTCCATAATCAACCCTTAACAATCCTAAACCTTGATATCCGACAGGTTTTTAGGAAAAACCAACAGAACCCATAAAAACAGCCTTAACATGCTGACAGCCTTGGATTCTGACTCCGACATGACATTTTATGTCACCAATCAGGATAGCGGCGTATTATCTGACTGAACAGTCCCACAGATTGGCTACGTTCACACTGCAGGACTTGATGCTCAATGAGGATTTCTTTGTGAGTTCCTTCATATTTCCAGTTCAATGCGACTTGTATGTGATCTGCTGTGTGAACTTCATACGACCCAAAAGTGTCCCGCATGCGCAGAAAAGGACACGACGACGTCACACGCAGCGAGTGTGCTCAGTGTTTACGGAAGTAAACATGGATGGTAACGGTGGAGCGTATCTGCCACTCCCCCGCCGCCACCAATGGAGGAAACAGAAGTGTGAGCGCTAACTAAACGAGCATCAGCAGCCAAGTACTGCCTGTGTGTTCTGGACACTTCCACCCCATCAGAGCGCTGCCCTGGGGTGGAAGTGTCTGGAACGTGCACAAGCTCACCGGTCAGTTAGGCTGAAGTCCAGCGATGCGTAGTGTTCTAACAATACACTAGTTATTATAACAACTATGAACAATAATGAACAACTAATGAGCCTTCCAGCATCAAGGCCTCCTTGTATCTGGACCTCCGTCTTGACAATCCAACAGCCTTGATATCCGACATAGAAGAAGGTTTTACATTTAGTGTCGGATTATCGAGTCACGACTGTACTTTATAGTATAAGTACTGTAATGTATAACTTACTGTAACTTGTTTTTTTTTTTTTTTAAACATGATGGCTCTTTTTACCAGAGCCTCAGCATTCTGCTCATTATCTTACCTGCTCTGTAGACGATATCTGCGACTACTTTGGAGTGAAGATCGGCATGTACTTTGCCTGGCTGGGTTTCTACACCAACTCCATGCTTTACCCGGCTGTCATCGGCTTTCTGCTCTGGATTCTAGCTGAAGCCGACCAGGTACTCGCTTTTAAACACTTTGAATAATGTCTGTGAAGCTTCTCATTCATCCAGGTCATGGTTCTTCTGGTAGTTTTATCGTAGCAACTGGACTTGCTTGAAGACGTTCCACCTCTCATCCAAGAGGCTTCATCAGCTCTGACTGACTAGTTGGGAGTTCCACATACTGATATCCTGAAGGAGACATTAGCACCTGAGTTTGGGTTTCAGTTGGAGGTTTGTTGCTCCTCCCCCTCGTTATGTGAGTCGTTAGTGCTCCCCCTGACACAGTGGGGTTCGTTAGGGTGTGGATGTGGGTTCATCTTCTGGGGAGAGATCTTTGAATGTTTGAATTTTAGACTATGGTACTCACAGTTTGAACAACAGTTTACAGACACTAGTACAGACCACGTATATCAGGGCAGTCCTGAGTGTCCAGTAACTCCTATAACTCTGAATTTCCTGTGATGGATTCATAGAAACACGTGTCTCTGTCACAAAAAACAATCATGTTTTGGTTCTTTCACAGATTGATTGTAGATCACTGGGTCAGATATGTTCATACAGAAACTTGAATGATCAGTTTTGTTGATGTAGAAAGTTATGTTAGTCTAATTATTGTAGTGGTATGACCTCTCACCTGCTCGTTAAGCTGCTGACTCCTCTGAGCCCATTTAAATAGGACCTGTTTGATAAACTCGTTAGCCACCATCACTGCAGTAGGAGAATCTAAGAGGCTCAGCACAGATCCTAAAAAGCAAATTAACTGACATGAACCACTCAGGACAGTCACCTGAAGATGCTTCAGATCCCAGAGTCATCGATGCAAACAGCGGTTTTAGTGAGAAGCTGTGTCTCAGGAAGGAAACACAAACTATCGCCTGCTGCTGACAGATGATTGGTCAGGACGGTCAGGAGTCACCAAAAAGCAGATCTGTAGTGAACTAGAAGCTGCTGGACCACAGTGGTCCCCAGTCAGATGCTATACCTGCTGAAGCCACGTCATCACTTCCTGGAAGTCAGCACCATGCTGACTCGTCACTCTCATTCATGTCACAAGTCTTTGGGTTTTGTTTTGCTGTCTTCATGCATTTTTTATTATCGTGCTTCAGCTTGTTTTGACAGATTTCATGTTGCCTTTTATATTTTTCATTAAATTTTTATAAGGTTTGCAACGAGCTGCAGCAGCTTCTCTGTATACAAAATAATGAATCGGCGGTGCTAACAGCAGCTTTTTATTAGACGGCTGGACAGAATCATCTTACCGTCACAAACTGTGATTATCTTTGCTTCTTTCCTGCTCCTGCACAGACCAGCCAGGACATCTGCTGCGTGGTTTTCGCCCTCTTCAACGTGGTGTGGGCCACTCTGTTCCTGGAGCGCTGGAAGAGGCGAGAGGCGGAGCTGTCGTACAGGTGGGGCACCCTGGACACACCTGCAGAGTCCCTGGAGGAGCCGCGGCCTCAGTTCAGGGTGAGGGGTGCTGCTTCCACACTTCTGTTGGCTCCATTTCTTAAACTATTCAGGGCCCCAAACTGTCCACATGTACAAAGTCTTGTGCTTTAAAAAGGTTCACGTCTCACCTGGCTACAGCGAAGCCTCGCAGCTTTAATCTCAACAACAAAACCAGAAAAAACAACAGACTGGAGAAGAAGAAGAAACACATTCAGCCGAACCAGGTGTCGTCACTCTGCTTGTATTTCTAAATCAGGCTGTAACTCATCAGCTCGTCTTGTTCCTGAGCTTCTGTCTATTTACACAAAACACAGAAATGTGAGCGAACACACAGTCCACACGCTGAGCAGCTTATATTCTGTACAGTTCCAGGAAAATACTCATTAATTGATGAGTATTTTCAGCGTGTGAGAAGGTTCGGTGACCCAGCAGTCAGCCGTCAGCGCTGCCACTGATCACTTGGATTTACACACAATACCAGGAAATGTGATCGGCCTGTTTACGGGAGTGTGTCTCTCAGAGCCCACGTGCTCAGAGCGTAGCGGGGGAGGGCAGCGCCTTCCTCGCCGCCGCCAGTTGTCAAGAATGAATAGGAGAGTTCAGGGAGGGGACGTGGGGGAGACCGCTAAAAGGGACGGCGGGAAGCTGAGGAAACAGGCCCGGCTAGCTCAGTCGGTAGAGCATGAGACTCTTAATCTCAGGGTCGTGGGTTCGAGCCCCACGTTGGGCGTTAACATTTTCCAGGAAGAAACTTTGGAGGCTGTTGGAGAGTTTCTGACAGACGACGTGTGAAAACAAGCGGTAGACAATCCACCGACACAGAGGTGCTGCTTGTGACCACATGTTGATAAAATAATATGATCAAGTCAGGGTGCAGCAGGTTTGTCCTTTCACTCAGAATCAGAAACAGATTTATTGCCAGGTATAGTTTACACAATACGAGGAATTAGTTCTGGTGGGTTGGTGCAACAATAAATATAGAGTAAGGCACAAGGTTTAAAAAAAAAAAAAGCTAAAAAATAAAAGTAATTACAAATAAAAATAACTGTAATGGTGCAAAGCAGAAGCAAAAACATATTGTGGAGTGAAGAATTAAAGGTAAATTTAAATAATAACCATAAAACTGTGGTTTTATTTACAAGAATATTGATATTTACATTTATACAGACGATCAGAGGAGTGCAGGTTGAAGGTGTGGAGGTGCAACACGACCAACAACAGCGCAGATGATGAGCAAAGAGACATTTATTTATTATTGAAGTCCAATAACGGGCTGTAAAGCAGCAACGTGCAGCTGAACGGGTGGAGTTCATACACATCATACACCAGGACCATGTTCAGAGGTCCGACCACAAATCAAAGACAATACAAGTTACTGTAACCCTCACACATTATAGTCTCAGCATTTTAATTAAGATAACAAACATTAATCAGCCAAGGAGCGTAGAGTGCACATCCGGCAACCGTTAGACCACAGTGATGGTAACTCCAGCAGCAGATGTTGTTCTAACCCAGCTAACAGGCTGAGACAGACATAGAGACACGTATTAGCAGCAAGAAGTCTACTTTTATAAGACTGTTGAGGACGTGCAGTGTGTCAGTCAGCGGCATCGTGTGGTGAGAGGTGCTGTCAGGTGCTGCAAACCAAATGAGGACAAATGTGTCCGCAGCCCAAACGCTCCAGGGAGGCAGAACCGGCCACGCAGACCACAGAATAGACCCGGTGTGCCCAATCCGATCCACTAATGCTTGTAAAGACAGTGCAGCTTGCAAAAAAAAGGATGCAAAAGATTCTCGTCATGCACCAACAATCCATCCGTTAAACTAGAAAGCGATTCTGCTGGAGCACATTCTGACCGTTTCTTGTTCAGACGATTACAATCACATTAAAGTCTCTTATCTAATATTTTCCACTCTCTTCTCTGCAGGGCGTGAAGCGCTGCAGTCCCATAACGGGCTGCGAGGAGTTCTACTACCCTCCCTGGAAGAGAGCTCTGTTCAGATGGCTGGTCAGCCTGCCCATCTGCCTCCTCTGCCTCTGCTTCGTCTTCCTCGCTATGCTCCTCTGCTTGGAACTGCAGGTGTGGACCAGATAACAGAAGAAATGGAGTTAAAATAGCCTCGGAGCTAATAAATGGGGACGATGCTGTGTGATGTGTGTTTGCTGTGAAGAGCTAAAACCTGCTTTGAATAACACAGTTTAACAAAAGGACCGAAAGCATTCCAGTTTATTCGACGAAATAGAAAAAAACAAAGATGAATAATTTAAGATCTGCAGCACCTGTGTCGTCTGGATGATTTGTGAGTTGTATAATTAAAAAAAGAAAAAAACCAGGATGAGTAGACGACGTGCTGATATCGTGCTCGTCAGCTGAGGTCTGTTTAATAGCTTCCTATAAATAGCTGTGGGCTCGGAGATGTGAATGAACAGGACTTATTAAAAATGTACCATGCTTCTAATTCACCTCGCAGGAAGTCGTGATGGAGATTCAGGAGCTGCCCGGCATCACCAGGTTCATTCCTAAGATACTCCTGGCTGTTACCGTAACCGTGTGTGACGAGGTGTACAAGAAGATTGCCTACTGGCTCAACGACATGGGTAAGACACACACACATATATCATCTGTTATATAAATATGTGATGTTTAGTAGGAGACTGATTTATCAAAATAAAAGAACTTGAATTAAACTGGGACCTCTTTGCCTGTTGGTATGTACGAGGCTTGGTCCCTGTCTGTTCTCTGATCTTCTCTCAGAGCACTACGAGGCAGTTAAAGAAAGTAAAACCGTCGCCTCATCGCTGTCATTCAGTGAGTAATGCTTTTTTCTTTCTTCATGCAGAGAACTACAGACTTCAGAGTGCCTACGAGAATAATCTCATCATCAAGATGGTTTTTGTAAGTCATGCTTCCTCTTCTGCTTGGTGAAACATGCAGATAATTCATCCGTATTGAGGGAGTGTTCGAGTTCCTGTAACGTTTTCTGCTTGTTTTACAGTTTGAGTTCATCAACTCTTACCTGAGCCTTTTCTACATCGGATTCTACCTCAAGGACATGGAGCGGCTGAAGGAGGTAGCAGCAGCTTTCAGTGGCGCCGCACACACAAAACAATGAGGGAAACATCGATTTATCCCAAAGCCACAACATGTGACATTAACTGACTGTTCTCTAAACCAGTGGTTCTCAAACTGGGGCTCCCAAGATAATGTCAGGGGGGTGCATTTATCAAATAAATGTGTATTAGGGCTGTCGAAATTAAAAGTGTATACTTCTATTTACTCCTTTTTCGAACTTGTGAATATTATGATTTGATTACGTGATGTTATTATTCTTTTTTGCCCTTTTTAAAATTCTTTTCTTCTGTTTTTTGTTTTTTTTTCCTTTTATTTGTTCAAAATAAATTCAGTTCATTCAAAAGAAAATGAACGTGTTAATGTGAAGAGAGGAATCTGTGGAATTAACACATTAATGATGAACAACAGAGTTATTACTCGTGATATATTAAGAATTCAAATTGGAGGGTCACGAACACAAACTGATGCTATCTTGGGGGTCGTGGCTCTAAAAGTTTGAGAACTGCTGATCTAAACCCTCCTGAGGAGATGCCACACTTGTCAAACTTCCCATTTTAGGGTCAAAATGATAAATACGACAGTTTGTTGTTTTATTTTAAATCTATTAAATGTTTTTCACCAGCTGTAGCAATCAAGCTAACTGAGCTAGCATTGGTTCATTTGGTTGAACTTTTTAACTGACTTTCTTTAAAAAAAATCTGTAACTCCAAAAACCAGTTTGCTGATTGTCTGACGGTGTAGGAAATGCTCAGCTAGCTGCTGTCAGGTGTGAGCTCGTTAGCCAGACATGCTAACAACTGATGAGCAGATAAAGCAAAAACATGTTCTGAGGAAGGAGACTGTGTGAGGAGCTTCTCAGTCATCCACACCTTTATAATTCATCATTAGAAGAGCTGTAATTAAAGTAGCTGCTTCTCTACTTTGGAGGCTTTGGTTTGTAATCTGTTCACAGCAGGAAGTTCTGAACCCTCCAGAAACCCTGAGCTCGGTCCGTCCGCTTTGCTCGACACACTGACCCGGTGCTGTGGTCCAGTCTGTAGCCAGCTGCCGAGGCCTTTCAGAAACATCCACATTGTGTGTTTGTGTGTTCCAGATGAGGAGCAATGCAGCCGTTTGTGTTGCGTGAATAGAAACCACATGTGTGTCTGCTGTCTAAGTCTGCATCGCTCATGTGGAGGTTAAGAATCGGCCTCAAGGCAGAGAAGTTCTGCAGGTTTACCAGATGATTTGAAATTATATCCTGTTCACTTTTATATGTCCAGCATCAAATGATAGCGTACATCATGTTGGGGCTCTTTGTAAGGTCAAGACTTTACAGTGTTATAGAAAGAAACCCAACAGCTCCCCCTCGGTCAGGAGCTAGTGAGGAGGAGAAACTACCTTCCAACATGTTAAAACTCCAGCAGAACTAGTGATTAAATAATAAATTGTAAAATATATCCACTGAAACAGAAAAGGAGTGTCTGCGCTAGCTAATGCGATCACTACCACCTCCTCCCTGATTCCTTTTGAACACATCATTTAGTGTATATTATCTGGGCGTTGATACAGTAGGGGATGAATTCAGACTCAGCTGTTGTTGTGCTTCTGGTTTTGGAAAAGCTCAATACAATTACCTTATCCGTCAATAAATGCATGTTATTGTTCTTACTGCATCTCGCTGGACAGGCCGTCTGTCCATCGCCGTGCCAGGTTACAGTTGCTAAGCTACGATAGTACAGTCGCTGTTTGACGAGAGATTTAACAAATGGTCAGCTGCAAAATAACTGAGCATTTAATTATCCACCATAAACTCTGAGTCCTACACTGCGACGGCTTGTTGCTGATAAACTGAGAGGCTGTGGGTGTAGCAGGATCATACTTTATTTAGTATCAAGACCTCCATCGTATGTGCTTTCTAAACACTTCTGGAGTTGTGAATGCGTATGTTGCACTTCTTTCTGTGCAGTAATAGATGTTGCCCTCCTCCTCACAGATGCTGGCTACTCTGCTGATTTTCCGCCAGTTCCTGCAGAACATTAAAGAGGTCCTCCAGCCGTATCTGTATGAGCAGAACAAGCTGGGCGTCTTCACCCCAAAGGTGCTATGGGAGCTGCTCCAAGCCATCACCATCAAGTACGGCCGCCTGGCGCTGGGAAAGGCCCAGGCCTCCATGACTTCTTATTCCTTTCTGGGTCCCAGAGGGATCCCCGTCAGCCCCACTAACGGGAACCCGGAGCCAAAGAGACGAGGGGATCTGAAGGCTGGATTCAGGCTGACAGAGGAAGAGTGGGACATGAATGACAGTGCCTTGAAGCACCGTAAAGTCAGCTTCACAGAGAAGGTCGACTACCAGGACGTCACGACGGAGACGCAGGCCGTGGACGACAGCTTCCTGGAGGACAGCCCCACCCTGGTGGAGGACGGGATGGATCCGTCCAGTATTTTTGACAGTTGTGATGAGGACAGTGATTGTGAATCGTTTTCTCAAGTATGTGGTCTGCTTATCTCATTGTTTGTCATCCATCCTTGCAGCTTCATGGTCTTGGCTTCATTCTTTACCCTTCAGCAATGGCCATCTGTTTAAATGTACCTACAAACATCAACAGAACCCTCTCATTCATGAATCATCTGACATAATGCCTGTGTAGTTTCACTCCATTCCTCCACATAGCACATCAAAGTATCGTAGTCTGATGTCTACATTAGCAGGAGACCAAGGAGAATGTGTCCTCTCCAAAGGAATCTGACTCTCTCTGTCAGAGAAGAAGGAACGCTGGGGAGGGGAAAGATGACAAGAAGTCGTGGATTGATCCGCCAGAAGAACCCAAAGGCGTCACTCTGACCCAGGCTGAGATCGAGAGCTGCATGCAGACGTACGAGGTGATGTGCTCCACAGCTGGTTTACAGGAGCTAAGTTCACAGCAGTGTACTCCTGAGAATACGGGTGTTAGTGCTGCTTCATGATGTCTGATTCCAACAGGACACGCTTCAGGACTACCAGGAGATGTTCATCCAGTTTGGCTACGTGGTGCTCTTCTCCTCTGCGTTCCCGCTGGCAGCCATGTGTGCTCTTATCAACAACATCATTGAGATCCGCAGCGACGCCCTGAAGCTCTGCACCGGCCTGCAGAGACCCTTCGGTCAGAGGGTGGAGAACATCGGCCAGTGGCAGGTCAGCCTGTGGTGTGTTATCAAATGTCAGAGAAGCCTTCTGGGCTGCTGTGTGCGCATTGCAGGCATCTGATGACCTGTTTATGTCTCTCATTCTGTCTCTGAACGCCAGACTGCGATGGAAGCCATGGGTTTGATAGCCATTATAGTTAACTGCTACCTGATTGGTCAGTGCGGGCAGCTTCAGCGTCTGTTCCCCTGGCTGAGCCCTGAGATGACCATCATCTCCATCGTCTTACTGGAGGTATGCACCGCACATGTGCATTCATCTATGAAGACTGTAGTCTCATTCTCAGAAAGATGTTTTAATATACAAAACAGACGTTCTATTTGTTATCGTGATTCTGTTCTCAAGGTTTCAGTGATGAACACAAAACCTCGCTGTAGTCTTTGGTTTATATGAGATGTTGTGTTTCGTCTGTATACAGAACAGGACAATACTCTGTGACTGTGGGTTGATGTGACTGTCCGTTGAGCCTGTCCCTTTGTGGTCTTGGTGGTTTACAGCACTTTGCAATCCTCCTAAAGTACATCATCCATGTGGCCATCCCTGATATCCCCGGCTGGGTAGCAGAAGAGATGGCCAAGCTAGAGTACCGCCGAAGGGAAGCTTTCAAGGTATAGCTGTGTCATAGCTTGAAAGACCTTCGCTCAGCGTGAGGCGGCTGCACTTGAAGTAGTTTCTGTCATTTTCTCTACATATGTTCATTTGTGTCCCTTCGTCTCTTGGTGTTCATCATCCTGACATGTTCACTGGTGCAGCCTGACTTTCACTAACAAGTAACTGTAAGTGTTTCTGTCCAGTCTATGGTCTGTATAGTTCTGTATAACATCGGTGGCATTTCCTGTCTCGATAGTGTCTCAGATAGATGGCGTCATTGAGATAACACAACAATTCAGAGTAACCACCTCACCTTGTTTTTATGAGCTTAAAGTTTAACTCTTATATTGCTGGTCCTACTGCTGCTGTGTGCTCTTTGCACTGCTACCATCCACACATTCAGGCTGTCTTAGCCAGTTCCAGCTCCTCTCTTTCAGTTTCACTAAATCTTTCTGTATCTCTGTGTAATGTCTTTATTTTTAAACGCCTCCTTCTAGAAACATGAGCTGCAGGCACAGCAGCACTTCCAGCAGCAGCTCAGACGCCGACGTGAAGAAGAGGAACTCCAGCGTCAGGCTGAGCTGCAGGCCGAGGCCCGTCAGGAGAGCGACTACCACAAGGCCGACGCCCAGCACCAGCACCACCACGACAAAGCACAAGGGAACAAGCCAGGGGACAAGCCCAAGAGACCCAGCTCTCTCCTGGGCAACAACAACGTGATGAAGCTGAAGCAGATCATTCCTCTCCAGGGGAAGTTCTCCTCCGGTACATCACGCTCACCAGCGCAGTCCCCAACAGGAGGGGAGGCGAAGCTGCCCGGGTTTCTGAAGTTCTTGAAGTCACCTGAGGTGAAAAAAGAGCCGGCGGTGGCAGTTGGAGCAACGACGGGGTCAACGGTCAGCTCTTCAGTTCCCCCTAGTGGCCAGGAGAGGTCACAGTCCCCCAACAGGACTTTCAGTCCTGGGAAGCTGTTCAGTTTCAGTAAGTCAGAGGGCACAGTGGTGTGTGCAAATGGGACCCAGCCACCGACCCAGGCTGCCAGCGCTCAGCCCAACCGGGCTGACTTAAACACAACACAAGAGGAGCTGCCCTCCAATGAGTCCGACAAAGGAGAATCAAGACAATTGACTGATTTAGAAAACTCAAAGACTTAATAAATGACTAATGTAATATTATAAATGGAGAGCAATGTACAAATGTTCAGAGACACTGATGCCCCGGCAGCGTAGGAGAACATGTTAGTCACGAGGACCACCTGTCAGGTCAGCAAGCATTAGACCTTCACTCTGGATGCAACTTACTCCTCACCAAGCATCGCCCTGTATCTACTAACACCTGATTAACTAGCTTCCATGTAAGATATGTACAGTAAGCGTACCTCCCTGAGTGGAGCTGTAGTGACCTTCACCGAGGTTCAAGTCCTGCATGACTGCCTGGTTTCCAACAGCAGAACAACACATTCTGCTGATGTGGAAGATCTTCTTGTTTTTTCAGGAGCTGGTCACCAATGAGCCCTTTTGTCAAAGCACATAAACAGCAGCTTCCCACGTCGGGTTCGTTTCTCATCCTGACGCCTGTATTGAATGCATGCTGCATCACGTGCATGCATCACACGCCATCACGTTCTTTTCAGTTGGAGCACTTTCAAAGCCATCGTATTCTTCTGCAATAGGTCAGATATACTCACTGTGACCATGAAAAAAATATTCTATTTTTCTTAACTTTGATTTTCTATGAATTATTTTACTACATAAATTAGTGAATGTACTTCTACGATGCAAATAAATCTCACTTGAACAAACATCCATCGAGAGATAATGCACTGGCTGAGTTAATAAATATCACTATATGACAGATCCTGGTGCTGGGCTCTTTGTTTCCTGGATATGAATGAAAACTTGGTTTTGGTGCAGATTCTAACTGTTAACTCAGAACACCCTGCTCCTGCATCAACACACTACTGTTAATGATGTCTGTGCAAAAAGAACACTTCAAACGAAAGTTATATCGGTTTATGGCATCGACTCAGTTCATCCAAAGAAAAGCTTCTGTTTGCGTTGAGTTACAGCTTTTACTGTACATCATAGAGCAATCTATACAAGAACAGGACTTCAGATTGACAACAATACATTATACAATGAATTCAAAGCAAAGTGAACACATTCCAAACATAATCAGGTGATAGAATATAAACCATATGACAAAATGAACACGCTCTTCTATCAAGAGCCAGGAAAATAAACACTGCATGTCTGCTTCAGACCACAGAAGCCTATCATGAGTGTTTGATGTGTACTGAGTTGCATAAGCAGCTAAAGTGAACATTTACTGAATACAAACTGTTTAAACAGGCGTCCCTGACAAATGTACATTAACTGACTCAACTTTCAAATGTGCCAAATACATCGCAGCAGGTTGCTCTTTGCAAAAAAAATATTCTCTCTGAAGGTGCAAAACTCAAGCCTCAGCAAATGCAGTGAAATGCTTTTGTGTGTTTTCACCAAACTCTGGCTGGTGTCTCTGCAAAGAAAAGTCGGACAAACAAAGTGAAATGGCAATAAATGGCTAACGAGGGGAAGACAGAATCAGAGCTAGTCCTTGTCTTGTTACCTGATAAAAAGGTCAAGGCAGTCACAATCTATGTACACACTGTACAAATATACAGGATCTGTGGAGTGTTATGATGAGCTCTACATGCAGCACATACACCCAGTGAACTCAGCCCTGCTGCTGAACGCTTCCTGTTCCAAACACGTCATCTCAATATGAATGTGAATGGCACATTTATAGCAAGGACTGGCAGCTGTCCTTACAGGTAGCCCACACATTAGCACAGCTGAAATGTAAATGTCCACACACGTTCCTCCGTCACCTATCCCATAATATACTGAGCCTTGCTGTTACGAAGAATCCAGCACTGCTTAAGAAGTGGTGATCTCAAAGTAGTGAGCATCATGGCTACAAAGTCTGCAGGTTACAAAAACTATTTGCATCCTCTAGAATTGGCGTGAATGTGCCGCTATGCTAACATCTACCCAACACGACAGAGGTTCATCTTCCTGAAACAACAATGTAAACCGAGGGGCAGCGCTCTAAGACATCGTGGAAACACACTCACTTCCGCTGAAGGCAATAAATTATTATTGATCAGGAGAAAACGACCACATCTCTCGGAGCGCTCCATACAGTCCGTAATCAAAACCCTGAATCAGTTACTCAGTCTAACTCACTAACACTACGCAGTTTAACGACAGTAATCACACTGACGACAAGCTAAAATAACCTTTTACACGACCACTGTCATTATTAAATTCTAAACAAAAGATTCCTGATGGAGTAGGAGCCACAGAAAACCACATGCTACAAAACATGCATATGTCAGAGACGGTATGAAGAACTGCGACTGTAAACTCTTAGATGGTGGCAGAGGAACGACAACATGACCCCTGGCGTTCTGAAAGGAAAACTGTGAGTAGAAGCGAGTGGAAAACAGACAGATTGAGGAATAAGGAGGTAGATGTATGGTATTTCAACACTACAAAGACTAAAACTCGAGGCAGAGGTGGTGCCTTCTTGGAAGTACAGGAAGTCCTGTGTGAGTGCAGGAAATTAACCGGGGGAAAAGTTTTTGGTTAAGAAGGAAATCTGAAGTCAAACATTAAGACCCGTGTGACAGCGGTGGTCTGACACGTATCCACTGTGGTGTGCTTCAGCGCCGAGGCCTGCAAACACATACTCTGCATCGGTGTGTGTTCTGCTAGTCAGTCTTTACTGGTTGAGCACAGACAGCACAGAAGTTTAGGAATCCTCAATCAGCTCCCGACTGTCTGTTCTGGCAATTTTTCGTGGCGGTGCTGTGTTCTCCCCCTCTGCTTGATCCTGTTCCCGCTTTTTTGCTGCATTCTGATGAAGAAAGAAAGAAATGCATTTAATATGATAATAGAAAATATAATCAGCAGCAAATCTCTCCTCCATTACATCTTTACAAAGCCTCACCTTTTTATCCCACTGTTGGTGTAGATACCGCAGCAGGATGTTTGTCTTCTCTGTGACGATGACTAAGGAGGAACAATGCAGACGATGATTGGATTAAGGACACAAAGGACGAAGGTGATCAAATGTCCGATAGCGGCTGAAATGCTCCAATAGGGACTGATTATTTAACAGGATGAGGGTGATTTTGTCAGTGTGTACTCACTCTGCTCAGACGGATACTCCCGGGTTGGAAGATATACAGACGGCCGACGGTTCTGAAACCACAATCACATCCAAATTAGTCTTTAACGGCTGAACTGCAGTCATACTAGAATGTGACATAAACAGCTTTTATCCCACTGCCAGACCTCTACTGAGCAGCTTGAGCCATTCTCAGCCATAACTGCTATTTGCACCAATGTACACGTATATATATTTTGCTCAGATGTGTGAATTCTTGTATATATTTGTTATCTTATTTTAGTTTTATTTTTTTCTTTCTATAGTTATTCTACTTTATTTTTATTTCCCTGTTGCTCATTCCTGCTCATTCCCAGGGCGACACAAACACCTGGAACCAGCTTCCTTGTATGTTGTGTACCTACCTGGCCATTAAAGCTGATCCTGATTCTGGTTCTGATTCTGACCACACATTGTGGACACATGTGGTTTCATCAACACATTTTGAGAAAGAAGCTCACTTACTGATGCTTTACACACAGAGTCTGCATGGAACCTGCTGAAGTTGTTCTTGTTGTAGACGGGCAGTCCCTTCAGGAATTCTCCCTGTAAACACATCAACAACAACAAAACCCCAGTGAGGACAGAAAACCGTCCTACGCATCAGAGTCAACCAGACACCGTGTTAGTAAACGGCAGCGACCGTTTACAGCGCGTCCTACTTGTCAGCGTGTAAACAATTATTTGGCTTTAAAATAAACGATTAATGAAAGAACCAAGTGCGAACCAACCTTCTCCATGTCTGTCCCGAGTCACGTTTGTCTTCGCTTGTGAACTCGCGAACCACCGTGACAGTGAAACCAAGTAGCTGCTACTGTTTCAGCTAGCTAGCTAGCTAGCCACACTAAGCCTTGTTGTCTTTGTCGTAGCCGAGCTACCGGGTTGTTTACCCGCTCGACAGCTTCTTCAGACCCGCTACAAAGCATAAACTACGTCCGATGTGACCGCATCACGTCCCTTCGAGCAGTTCGAAAGCTACCAATCGTGTAATTTCACACAAACCCAAACTGGACGTCCTTTGACGGCTAACTTGCTACTAGTTCATAACTCCATTTTTGTTGTTCGTCCAGTAGGGGGGGGTACCTTTTCATATCCAGCGCACCTCATTGGTTGGGCGGCGGTGTCTGTTTGACGAGAGAGAAAAGGCAGCACGCTGATTGGCTGTAACATGATTATGTAACAGACCAATCGTCCAATACGAGAGAGCGGAGGCACGAAGCCCTGATGAAAACAACACAAGCTCTTTTTAGTCAGTCCTCCATGTAAAGCTGTGTTCGGCCTGACGGGCAGGTCTGGAGAGCGGCTGTTATCTCAGGCAGCAGTGTTGCTTCAACGCCTCGTATCATGTTCAGAGTTATTATTTGTCATCTGGGAACTCAGCCTAAGTTCTGGAAAATATATTGGCTGAATTTTGAGACTTTCATATGTTTTCAGACTTGTGTTTTTGTATTTTCACCCTCAGAAAATATCTACAACTCCTAGAACTCCTACAACTCCAGATGATTGAATGGCCCCAGGAGGCACCGATTTTTAATGCTGACACTAGAAAATGCAAAAAATAAAAAAGAAAAAATATATATACAATGTATATGTGGATGTATTCATATTTCCTACTAAAATGCAGCCATTGCTCAGCTTCTAAGCCCTCTAAAATCAGCATAATTTTATGTTTGCTATTAAAATCTAAGGTTTGCATTTTTTGCTCTGACCAACATGTTGTTGAGGGTCTATTAATAGCAACAAAAGAGTCTATATATTGTCATCGTACCTGAAAAGCTACAAACTGTCCCACCTCATCCTCACGTTACAATTTTACAACATTTTCGGCTGTTTTTTTTGCCAAACAGACAATAAAACATGACATCAGTGATGATGTTAGGAGGTGTCCAGACCTGGTGAAGTGTTGACCAGAGGAATGACTGTACAGTTAGTAGAATATACAGTATAGACAGATTGTTAAAATGCTCATATTGTATAAGTGTAAAACAAGATAAACAGCCTTGAAATTTCTCCTGCAAGACTCTAAATTGACAGTTAGAGGAAATGTAATTAGTGATAAGGCTGCTAACTTTAGTATATTTTGCCTAAATTAATTTACAAGAGTTGCTTGTGAACAGCAGCGATTATTCATGAGATGCTATAGTGACCAGATGTCGTAGCTCAGATGAAATAAAATGAGTTAAAAACTAAAATACAACTCACACCGAACCAGTTAGTATAAAGTAAACATGCTAAGCTACCAGTAGCTGTACGTTGTTCAGTTACTACCAAAAGCTGTCAGGAAATTTTGTGTGTCTAACACTTCATTGTCTGTTTCTGGGGAATTTTTATGCCTCAACTTGTCCCTTCTTTGCATGCATCTGTATTGTAGCATCTGAGTCATCATGTTACAGCAGTTCTTCAAAAATAAATGCCTGTTTGTTTGTTTCATGAACAAATGCATGTGGGGACAGAGACTTGACTATAATACTGTCTGTTTCCTCTGCTCTGATTTTTAGTCGTCACAACCGTCCATGTTTAACAGTGGATCATAAATAAAAGGCTGCAGATGGAACCCTGTTGCCTGATAACTCCTGTCCATAGGGACCATCTCGCTACACGCTGAGAAGGTGTTTATTGTAATTAATGCTCTTAGCATATCTCCAGTTAAATAAACATAAACCTCTGTAACAGATCAGAACTTTGTCTCTTGAGGCAACAAAGAATGAAAACTTTGTTAAGCAGTCGACTGGACCTGGTGTTTGCATTTCAGAACAACTCCACTGATTTTGCAAAATCATTTTTATTCGAGACACATTTTGTCTTTAAATCAAATTAATTCACATACACACACACACACACACATCATACATGTGCTGACTTCTCTGACTCTGACCTAAGCTTCATGTTGGGATGGTGAAACTAGCAGGCCTCCTGTTTTCTCTGTCAGAGGTCAGGATCCATTCTCCTCTCCTCCCATTGTTATTATTCATACTGTGGGGCTGCCGGAGCCGGACCACACCCGGTATCACCATGCACAGGTTCTTCACTGCGTGCTGACCCCCTCCAGCATTTCAGGACCAATGTCTCTTTTTTTAAAGTGTGACAGGTTTTTCAACAGGAACCTTCAGTGTGACAGCGATTTCCGTCCCTTCAGCATTCGCCGCAGAATCACTTCGATGCCGCCCTGCGAGCTGAGCCTCTTGATCCAGCCGTGGGTTCTTTTGCGTTTAATGTTCTTGGGCTGATACTCTGTGCCTCTCTTGCGGGTCCGGACTTGCTGGTACTGCCAGGGGAGCTGCTGGAACACTCCTGAACCCTCAGCTTGTGAAGAAAGCGGCGCTGGAAATCTGGAAATCTGAGGTCCTGCAGCCGTTCTGGGAACCATCCAGCTGCTGAATGATCGGAGGTGAGAAGCGCCTGTTGCTGAAGGGATGCTGTGGAAAGAGCACAGGTTCAGATGGAATGAATAAATCAGCATTATGCAACAGTGATTACACTCAGCATGTAATCCATTCGTCATAGTGCAGGTAATGTGTATGCGTCATGAATCCCACGCCCTGATGTCCACCACCAGCAGAATGATGAAACATGTTCATGTGCAGACTGAGATCGCAGCCGCTTTAACTGGCATTTAATTTGTGCAATTCTGTTATTTACAAATGCAAATAGTGATTAAATGGATATTCAAGTCTAGAAGTGAGCACAGGCGTTGCATTTCATGAATGTGGATCTGATTTAATTGTAAATATTGTCACTCCTTTATTGAAAAGTTTTCAAAGTGGATCTCAGCATTGGTTTATTTACATGACACTGAAATTAGCATCTGATTCGCTGCTTTAGAAGTTAAGGGAAAAGTGAAGGGGAATTTAACTTACAGAGCTGGACAATCAACTTTATCCCCACCTTTCTGAGGATGTAGGTAGTAGATGTTTTAGGTAAACCCTGTTCACCTCATCAGCCCTGTCTGCCTCATAGCATCTGGTTCCATCACTGAAACTGCCTTTTGCACACTTCTGTTGCACATTAATATCTGCACTTCACTCCACACAGGACTTTCCTGCTTGACATAATAGACTTATTGTACATTTTGCATTTTATATTTTCTTATTGTAGGCTCCAGCCCCCCACCCCCGCAACCCTAGTGAGGATTAAGCGGTGTATAGATGATGGATGGATGGATATTTTCTTATGGTTTATTTTTGCCTATTTATCTGTATTTATGGTGCTGGTAACTCTATCTTGTGCTGTAACAACCACATGTCCCCCTGGGGATGAACACAGTATTTCTATCTATCTATTAACCCTTAATGGTGTCTGATAGCCACTCAAATCTGGGAAACGTTGATTCTGTTTGAATTCACAGCTCTCTCTCTTTTTCTTTTTTTTCCCTTCTGTTTTGCATGTAGACCACATTAGACCAGGTCCAGATCCAAACCACTGAACACAGACTTGTCAGATCTGGACTAGAACAGACTGTAGAGGCTGAAAAGTCTTTAAAACAGGTTGTGATTTATTATTTTTAGGGATGCACGATACATCAGTATCGGCCGATATCAGTGTTTTTCCCCATATATCGGTATCGGTCCGATGAACACATTTAGCCGATGATTGTCTAACATCAGCGCCTTCGTCTCTACGTTTGATATCGCTGCTGTTTCACAGATGTTTTTACTTAAATGGTCCTGGACTTTTAATATGTTTAAATATGTTTTACTTTTGTAACAAAGCAGACTAGCTGGTCTGATCTGGGCTTCTTCTGAATAGTTTCCTCACAGTTCTTACTGATACTCATTGTTGGATGGGAACAAAAATTGAACATCGACATCTGTGATATCAGGAATCTTAATATCGGTATCGGCCAGAACTTTTAATATCGTGCATCACTAAATATTTCAGCTGAAATGCTAAAAAGGGAGACTTCAGATTTCACTGCTTTTTTTTTGCACGCAGACCACATTGGCCCAGATCTTTTTTTGAATTTTTATATTTTTACAAATAGACAAAGGGTTTGACGGATTTGAAAGCAAAGTTTTCCTCAAAAGTCTACGTGTGAGTCCAGACGTGTTATCTAGAAGGTTTTTTCTGACACAGCACAGCTTTAGCCTCTTCTCCTGAGACGTGTAGGACATGACACCGATGTGTGACCCAGAGAAACACTCAGGGAACCATCACAGTTTGTACATAGTTAAATCTGCACCGTGGTTCATAAATCTTCTAATTAACTCCATTTTAATTATCTGTCATAAGGTTCCAGCTGTAGCAGCCATTAGCCGACAGGTCAGCAGATAACGAGCCAGTTTACCTGCATGAGCCAGTAGCCACGCTGCTAACACGGTGCTAAGTTAGCTTCCGGTGTTAGCATCGCAAACAGACACAGTGAAGCTCTGCCGTTTGTAAACACGTGACTGTCTTACCTGCTCAGGTGAGTTATTCCCCTCAGTCGGGAAAAAGACGACAGTATAATATTCATTTTGAGATAGTTAATGCAGTTGACATGCGAACAGTGAATGTCACTGAATGTCCACCAGCCTCCCAACACGAAGCGACGCGATTGGTTGAGACTGGAGCCAATAGGAAGGCTCGTTGCTTGAACCCTCAGCTGTGATTAAACCCGCTGCTGCAACACCAACACAAAGATTTATTAACAAGGTCAAGGGCTGAGTCATGAGGAGGTTAGTATCGAGCAGATAGCAAACGCTGAATATGGAAATATTAGCAAAACAGATACAGAGGTACCAGGAGTTACTGTCAAGATTCAGTCTACTACAGGTGTGTTTTACTCTTCAAACAGCACAACCAGCAACTGTACACTACACAACAGAGGAGTGTGTCCCTGTGCAATATCACCTAAATGTCAAATATTTTAAATCTGTATTACATTGGAGTAACTGCATAACTTCTAAATTAAACAGTTTAATTTCACTATATTTAAAAAATAATAAGGAGCCTCACAGTAGGAGGGAAGACAAGTGAGAAAACCTAAGCTAAGCTACACTTAGAGACAGACAACCAAGCACACTCACATTCACACCTACGGACAATTTAAAATCACCAATTAACCTCAGCATGTTTCTGGACTGTGGGAGAAAGCCGGAGAACCCGGAGAGAACCCACGAGGAGAACATGGAGACTCCACGCAGAAAGATCCCGGGTGTCCTCACCGGGACGTGAACCGGCAACCTTCAAGCTGTGAGGCGACGGTGCTAACCACTGAGACACCTGCAGCCCTCGAGGATATCAGTGTTGCACAAATTCCTCCAGAAATGTTCTGTCATTCTTCAGACGACTTGTTTCAGCTGCTGCAGTGCTTGTGCTGCTCATCTCTTTAAAAAACAACAAGAAAACACAAAAGTGTGTATCTGATGAACTCAAGTCAGACCAGATCATAGCTCCACTTTTTCCTTCTTAAGATAATCTTGTGTGATTTTGACTGAGTCGGATTGTTATCATGCTGGAACATTCCTCTTCTATCAAGCTTCTGCAGACTGGGAGGCATCTCTTCAGCCAATTATTATGGTATCCATAACCTCTGGTTTCCTCATATCATCACACTCCCAGCTCTGTGCTTCACTGTTGGGACGACGTCTTCACTCCTGACCAGGTTCACATCAGACATGCTGGACTCCATCTGAACCTAAACATTTTTTTTATCTTGATCTCATCTCGTCAGAGAATGTGCTCCCAACATTCACTGGGCATCTTTTCATGTTCTTCAGCCGGGTTTAATCTCACTTTTTTTTTTTTACTGAGGAGCATCCAGGTGTGTTTTCCTTGGATGCTGTCTATCGGGGTTGATGCTACATCCCGTCCTTCACGCTGTCTGAACTGTCACAGAAACTCCAATTTCCAACGGTGACCCCCATGCCAAGTCTTAAGCACTTGTCCATCTGTTTTCAGTGCTAGATTGCACAAATAGCACGCTCTCTGTGGCATCATCTGAGGAGATTAGTGATGCTCTGGCTTGTTTAATGCCACCTAAACACTGCTGCAACCATCAACTGGGTTGGAGCTGCTCATCGATCTTCCTGTGTCCTTTTCTAGATTTGTTTAGATTTAGATCTGGTAGCTCCAAAACTGAGAAGGCCCCGGTGTTCACAGGTCCACGCAGTAAGGCTGATTAGAAACGACAGATGTACCAAGTGTGGTTTCAGTGATCAGATAAAACATCCAGACAGGATCAAACTTGTAAAACCAAGTAGTAAAACAAAACAAAACTGTATAAAACACAAAACAGACGTAACGGATTGCAACTTGTGAGATCAACTTCTCACATAAACATAAATATTAAGACCCTTAAGAGCCGCCACAAGCCACTGACAATATGTTCGTCTTGAGATTTTTCTTGAAATTATCAATGGAGGCAGAAAATTTGATGGAAAGAGGAAGGCGTCTTCCTCCAAAGCAATGGCTCAGTCTGCCCTTATCCACCAGCATCCACAAAGGAACAGCTAAACCCAGGTAGAGAACACATTACAGGATGTACTGAAGGCCTGTGAGCTCAGATTTGAGCTCTGTTTGGTCTCTAATTGGAAAATCTGACCTTCCATGCAGCCTTCGCTCTTATGGCTTGGTATAGTTGTTATATGCAGCGGTTCATGGTGGCGTGTGAGTTGGCCTGATTGGTTTGAACCCAGAAACGTGCTCCTGACATAAACATGAAGCGACTTACAGCAGCTCCTAAACAACAACAGAAACAGTTTGCCCACAGGCTCTCCTCCCCTCAGACGTCACAGCTGCCTCCTCGGTGACTGGTACCGGACTGGCCTAGTGCACCAGTTTGTTGACGGCAGCTCAGGGCAGACAGCACTTCTTAGTGGATTACATTTAAACCTAAAGGTCGTGTCTCCCTGTGGTGATGCTGCAGCTGCACACAAACATCATCTCAGTCTGTATGATGCTGCAGATCAGATGCTTAAAAGTCACATGTGGGGATGTGAGATGTGTTCACACCTGCATGCACGCAGTCCTGATCAGCCCATTTGGGTAATTAGCTGGACCATCATTTTTATCATCTATGTCAGTCTGTCTGACCGCGAGCACGAGCACGCACGCCTTTTGCTTTCCTGTCAGCCTTAGCAACAAGGAAACACGCCTCTCCCATTGGCCTCCTCTCAGAAGGAGCTGCCTTCTATTCGCCTTGCTCGCTGCCACTCAGCAGAGGAACTGCCCCGACACTTGCTGCGGATTCAAGGGCAGCAGGGCTGGGCAGGGTCTGGCCTGGCTGCGCAGTGGATGCTGGAGGGAGGAGAGAGAAGAAAAACACACACAACACGTTTGTTACCGTGATGGGTGTCTTATTGATATGCAACTGGCACACATTTCTGGATGCATGCGTTGTCTTCAGTCCGAGCCCTCCTGCGTCCCGCCGTGCCAGTCCAATGAGGCTAATAAGGAGCCCGCACTGTTTTGCAGCATCTCTAGCGTAGACAAATTGTTGCGCCAAATGCAACGTTCTCCTCAGCTGCGCGTCGTCGGCCCGTGACTGTCATCCTTTGGCGCAGGTTTCTCATCACTTCAATCACCACCGATTCCGCAGGTAAGCAGGTGGATCTTTTATTGCATCAACCTGGTGTAGTTTGTAGGTGTTTATTGTGCAGCATATTGTCATCAGCAGTCATTGCACGGCTGCACGATGACTGCGTGTGTTTGTCCTGTGACAGCGCAGAAATAAGAGAGCTGTCAATAATATGAGCGGTGCAATTATGGCAACAAGACTGATATTAAATCTGTCCAGTGTTATAATGTATGAGGCCTGTGATTTACACCTGATTTACTGTTGTTCTGGTTTATTTTTATGTTATTATTATTATTATTATTATTGTGACCATCATGCCCTAAAATATGAAATACTATTAAGATCTGCAGTCTGCGTTATTAAATTTATGTCTTGATCTTTTGAAAACCACATTTGTGCATTTGAACAGAAAGTAGGTTACGACGGTCTCATTTTGCAGATACACGCATTTCACGTGCAGCTTTCACGCCAGACTGCACCCCACTGTAGAGCCTGGTAGTGGGAATGCTGCAGCACACTGTGTACCAAACGCACTGTAAGACTGGGCAGACATGTCAGCCTATACATCCAGCAATGCAGACAGAAACAGCAGCACGGAGGAGTAACCTTCAGCCTGTTTGACTTCAGGGGTTTGTGGATTTCAGGAGGCGGCTCACTTGCTCCCTGCAGCCATGTTCCAGTGCTGGTTGGAGGGTTTGACGGATTGTAGGTCAGGAGGAGAATCCCTGATTGGGATGCTGATCAGTGCTGCTGTAGTTTGTTTTGTGCTACTGGGATGCATCGAGGTGTTTATCCAGACTGATGACTCATTATTGGTGGTTGAAACGACTAGATAAATAGATAGATAGATAGATAGATAGATAGATAGATAGATAGATAGATAGATAGATAGATAGATGTAGATTGTAGACGGATGAGTGATTTCAGCTGCAGTCTGGAATATCTGCGTCTTCTGTTGATGCTCCAGTTCCATGTTTGTGGACAGACAGCTGAGTCAGTTAGCCTTTACTCAGCTCCAGGTTGTAACCAGATCGCACTTATTGCACTGACCTTCAGACCAACAACAACAACGTGCACATGCACAGACACATGCACGCAGAAACCCACTTGTGCAAATGCAGCTCTGTGCATTTAAAGTCTGTAATAGGGATTTACCTTATTCAAACTATTGCTGAAGCCCTGCTGACATTGTATTCTGTGCATTACTTTTTCTGCAGTACCTTTAAAACAACAGCTATTGTGCCAAAGCGCTCCTCTGTGGAGAAATAAGATGAATGGTGAAGAAGAATATATCGCAAATTTACCCAACAAGTTTAAATATTAATGTTAGGAACCTGCAATATTATTTATGATGTGAATGTACCTGAGTAATGTCAATATTACAGTTACAAACCTAAAAAATGATATAAAATGCTAGTTTGCATGTCTAACTATCCTACAGTATTATTAATGGCAGAGATTTACCCGACTAATTAAAACATTTAAAGCCACGACCATATAAGATATATGTTGATATGTGGGAAACCCAACACATCCTGAGATTCTCTATGAGCAAACATGTTGACGGCAGTGGAGGGGAAGAGTTCTCTGTAATGTGAAGAGACCTGCAGCACAACCAGGCGCAGGGAAGGCGGTCGTCTGCCTGGCCGAGGGTAAAGGAGGGAGAGGAGAGGATAGCAGAGACAAATAGACAACAAATATGACGACATAAACTCTGGACAAGACGAGCAAACCACAGATCAGAGTCGTCCAGATCCGGAAATACCTGCAGAGAAAGAGACAGAGAGGTCAAAGCAACAACTAGAGCAGAGAGGAAACACGCAATAAAGCAACAGCAAATAGAACCGCATGAAGGAAATGACAAGGATTAACACATATTAGGATATATTATGAACAGGTAGGTGATGGTTGTTAGATTGAGAAACAGGTGGAACTATAATAGGAAAAGGGTAAAAGAGAAGACTGAGTGAAATCTGGCAGCTACAAAACAGCACAGAGATAAAAGAAACCAAGAGAGACACGACAGCTTCAGGAAGAACTTAAAGCAAAGGGGGAAATATCCTATAGTGTCCAACAGTGGGACAGGATTTAATGTAGGAGACGGGGTGTGATAACTGAAAAAGGCCCGTCACTTCTGGTTCTGAGGTGTGAATGGAGCACTGAGAGGCGAAACTGTGACCTAAATGGCAGACGAGCAGAAAGGACAGTTGACATATCAGTAAGGTGCAGTGGAGCAAAACCGTTCAGGGCTCTATAAACAAAAAAAACTCAGTTCTGTATAAGTTAGTGCAAACGAGCCAGAACTGAAGGGATGTGCTGTCTTGTCTCTGCACCAGTAAGGATCCTGGCGTCCTGAGATGTAGTCGGGTCAGACTGGGCTCTTATACAACAGGCAGCTAGAGTAGGCCAGCTGGGAGCTAATACTGCATGGATAACAGTTTCCAGGTCTTGGTGAGCTGTCCGTCATGATGCTGCTGACTCATTAAATGTTCAAAGAAGAGTCCAGGAGGCTTTTTGACCACATCGTGCACATTCCCAGACAGTGGGCCAAGCACACTGCTAACAGGAGTTGGGAGGAGTAAATGTAATGAGCACAGTGTTGTTTTCATTCTGCTGGTGGTGTTTGAGTCATACGTGTAGAAAATACATTCACGTTACCAGTAATATTATGTCATTTATGTCACTGCAGACACTTTATATGACTCCAGTCTGCAGAAAACAATATAGAATCTGATTACACACACAAAGAGGATTAATGAGAATGGATCCACTCCACATAGCTGTGTGTGTGCAGCATACACTTACACTCTATTTTGTATTTTATCAGCATCTGAATCCTTCCATGGTATCTTGTGAGCTGTACCGTAGAGTCTGATCTGTTGGCAGCGACGTGCATGTTGTGCTCTGTTCAGTGGTTCTTTAAACAGGCAGCAGTGAAGCTCTGCTGTAGATGAGACGCTTCCCGTTGTGTTTCCTACAGATAACCAGCCTGTGTTTGTATCACAAGCGAAGACTAATAATGGCTTGTTGAACTTCACTGCTAAAATACAGTTTAGCTGTGACTGGACCTGAGCAGGACAACAATGAGTCCCTGTTTCTCTGTTGGGTAGTTTGGAACGCTGCCATGATCCCGTTGTGAGACATAAAGCTGACAGACATGTACACAGTCATGCACTATGACTGGTGTTTTCTATTTATACATATCCTGATTCTTAACCACGTGAAAAGGAACAGATATTAATAGCAGACATGTAGTTTGGATTGTGAATGGTCGGTCTCCGCTGACACTGACACTCCAGAACGGAGCTCGTATTGTTTCTGTGTTTGTTAATGAACGTGGAGCTGCTGAATGTTGAGCTGCTTTGGCCTCCAGGTGAGTGTGTTTTATTGGAGCTGGACGTGATAACTTTGCATGGTGTTAAACTGAAAGCATCCCTGCTCCGACTGCGTTTAGTTTTTGCTAAACATTGGCTGTGGATTTGTGGAAGGTTACAGAAAACCATTTCATTGTCACTCTGTTGCTAGGAAACTACTTGGGCCCAGTTTTGTAGGAGTCAAGCTGCTCCCGATTGCTTCCAGCTGAGCAGTTTGACATCTGCAAACACTGCAAACATTTATATTGTTTAAAATGTTTGAATGTGTGGTAACAGATGATTTGTGAAAAGTAGGCCAACTGGCTCCGAACACCCACGGCTGTGTTCATACGCTGTCTGTTGCTCCACTCTGTAAATCGACATTATCTTGTTTTTCTGTTGCTGTGTTTAAAATGGAGCATCTCGGTGATGATCTGTTATCTGTGTGATGTTGTTGCTGCAGGGAAGCACCATGCTGACCAGCATCACTGAGGGGATACTGTGCTGCCTGACTGGGAAAGCTGCCAGTCTCGTCTTGCCTTTGGAGTCATCAGAACCCTCTGACGGCTTTGAGTTTGTGGAGGTGAAACCTGGGAGAGTCCTGCGAGTTCGGCACATCGTCCCCGAGCGTCAGCCCATAGAAACAGAGAAGCAGGTTGCAGGGACGGAGAAGGCGGACGACGACTGCGAGGACTCTCCTGAGGATTCCAGAAATGACAGCGACAGCGGCAGCAGTGTCCACTGTAAGAGGAAGATCACAGTCTACCGCAACGGCCAGCTGGTGATTGAGAATCTGGGGGACGTTTTGCACTCTGAGATCTTGCAGTGTCAGGATGGCGATCTGGAGCCCTGCAGCACTGTAGAGGTGGAGCTCGCTGACTATAAAGAAATAGCTTCTTCTCCAGACCCTAACCCCGTTCCTCCTCCGGTTCCACCACCTCCTGGGGAACACAAACCTGCTCCGCCGCCTCGCCGCCGCCGTCGCAAGCCCAAGCGCACAGTGGTCATCGACTCGAAGAGGGTGATCTCAAGCTGCAAAGGGACGCACTCGGACGTAGCGCTGTTCTTCGTGCATGGGGTGGGAGGCTCTCTAGACATTTGGAGTAGCCAGCTGGACTTCTTCTCTCGGCTGGGCTATGAGGTAATTGCTCCAGACCTGGCGGGCCACGGAGCCAGCACTGCCCCGCAGATTGCAGCAGCATATACCTTCTACGCACTGGCAGAGGACCTACGTGCCATCTTTAAGAGATACGCTCGTAAACGCAACATTCTCATCGGCCATTCTTATGGGTGAGGATTTCTGAAATGTGTTTGTTATGAAGCAGTTTTCCTGCAGTGACTCACACATTGCTAACGTGCAACTCATCTCTTCCAGAGTGTCGTTTTGCACCTTCCTGGCCCACGAGTATCCTGATCTGGTGCACAAGGTGGTGATGATCAACGGAGGTGGTCCCACGGCGCTGGAGCCCAGCCTCTGCTCCATCTTCCAGCTGCCATCTTGCGTCCTTCACTGTCTGTCTCCTTGTCTGGCCTGGAGCTTCCTCAAGTAAGAGCTGCATTTATACAAGAGCAGAGTTGACACTAGAAATAATGAAACACCACGATAATGTTTCTCATAGAAGGAAAATGCTCATTCAAGTCAAAACATGTGAACACTTCCTCTCTTTTCCTGACATCCAGAGCTGGATTTGCCCGTCAGGGTGCCAAAGAAAAGCAGCTGTTGAAGCAGGGCAATGCCTTCAATGTGTCTCCGTTTGTCCTGCGAGCCATGATGAGTGGGCAGTACTGGCCTGAGGGGGATGAGGTCTACCATGCCGAGCTCACTGTGCCCATCCTCCTGGTTCACGGCATGTGTGACAAGTTTGTGCCCATGGATGAGGACCAGCGCATGGCAGAGGTACAGAACACCTTCATCTTTACATATAGACCAGAATTCATTTTTTATATGTTCTGCCTTATGTGATCTGTGGGGCTAAATATGATAGCACTCAGCTGTTATTTTGGGCTTTGTTTCTAGATCCTCCTATTTGCATTCCTAAAAGTCATCGAGGAAGGAAGTCACATGGTCATGATGGAGTGTCCTGACACCGTCAACACCCTCCTCCACGAGTTCTTTCTATGGGAGCCTGACATGTCCAGAAAAGACAGCAGCAAGACAGACACAGAGAAGACAGTTGCTGTCAGTGACACTCTTCACACACTGAAAATCAATAAGGTTATGGACAAATAACCAACGAGGAGTCTAGTTTTATCACAGAACCAAGCAGAAGGCCTTTTTTCGGCAGTTGTGTGTTCTGAAGGCTCCCGGGCTGAGAGCTGTTATTAACAGGGCCACATCTTAAGGATGCGGACAACCACTGGTGCTCCAAGATAAAGCAGGAAAGAACATTTGATGAGGAGAACGGATGCAAATACACAGTCAGTTTCTGCTTCGCTTTTTGATACCAGTTTGTGCTCCATTGCATCGTGTTTTGCAAAACGACACAATACCTGGAGGTCAAAGGGACTGTCCATTCTGTGTGAAGTGTTTGTGGGGAAGAACTGACGACTACAAGGTGGCATAAAGTCCATGAAAGGGTGTTGAAATTTCCTCGCTTTTATCTTGAATATTCTGTAAAGTACTGCAGAGCTTCTGTTCTACCGTTATAAGATGGTGAACTTATGGTTGGGTCCGTTGTGGGTGTGCTGTCAATAAGAAACAGGCAAAAATAATATATAGTAAACTGAGAGTTGCCAGCGATGGACAGCCTATAACAACATAAAAGCGTTGATAATAATAAGTGTCAAATACTGACTGGATAGTGGTGGGAAGTGGGTTCAAGACATTAAATATATACCAATGTACATGCAAAATGTAATTAATAATTGCGTCACATGTATACATAAATTATATTACGACTGATGGAGAAACAGAAAAATCGTAGTTCACTTGCAATCCAGCCACCTATTAACCACATCCATCCAATGTGCCGTGTACACCATGTCAGACTCTCACAGCCATAGCTATCGCCACGACAATTGGCTGACAGATTTCTAAATCACAGCGATCTATTTTCCATATACTGAACTCTAATGTAAAGTCTAAATCAAAAACGCTACGTGTCAAGTGTGAAGCACAATGTAACCGACTCATCCTTTCATAGTTGCATGAAAATTAAGTAACATTCAGTAAGAGGTTTATAAGAACTGGCTGCAAAAACAGACGTAAACAAACGTGGATGCCAAAAGGTTCCGTCTCCTGATTTTAGCAGCCGTTTCTTCAATACTATATATTATCCTAAGGATACGAAGTACTGAGGCCCTGCATGAGTTCAGAATATGAAAAGATATGAGGGTCGTTTCAATATATTGTCATATAGAAAAAAATCCCAGCACACTCCTGTTTAACCAAATGGGTGTTCCTCTTGATGTGTAAGTATTATTTTATTTATTTCTATTCTGAAATAACAGCGACTTCCATGACAAACTGTGGTTGTATTGACCGCTTTAAGCTGTTGTGTCTCAAGCTGATAAATGTGTGTTCCCTACGACTCCGGTTCACTCTATTTATCTATTTGTGTCCGACTGAAAGAACGAGCAGAATATTTTGCTCGATGAAAGACATTCATTCGTGGATGCTGCTTTGTCTCATAGTGGGACAGTAAGGTGCGAGTAAAAGCACAGTCTAATATGCTCCCTGACGGTGCTCATCTGTTTTGAGTGTAGAAGAAGGTATAAATCGGTGGATTTGGAACTGGGTGTCCAGTGCTAAAAAAAAAAAAAAAACACGTACGAATCAGCCAAAGGAGAAAGTCCTCTTAAAAAGCGGGACGTCTGTGCTCACCGTGCCGGTCTGTTATTTATGCATTTTCAGAGAATGCTGATGCAACACGACCGGATTTATGCAACTGGAACAAAATAGAAACAGAGTGGAAACGTAACAGACTTGCTACTGATGGCTCTAAAACATTATATATTCTCTGTGGAATTTCCAAAAACCAACAAGTGCTGCTGATTTGATGTACTGTACATCTCCTTTGGTGTAAAAGGTCAGTAAAACTGTATGGACTACAGGGTGCACATGTACTTCCTCTTATGCTAAAAGTGTGCATATACAAATTGTCAGTGCTCATATGTGATATATCTTTTTGTGGTTAACAAAATGTGTTAATGTTATTGTTGCATTTATTCATGGGAATCATAATATATGCACTGCCTGAATGTAGATGCATATAACATTATATAGCCTATCGGAACAGTTGGATTCAGTGTATGACTGTGCCTTTCCTGGCATGAAATAAAACAGATGTTCACAGTTGAAACGTGTTTTTGCTTGTCTGTTTGCTTGCAGTAACATAATCTGTTTTCGTGGGTGTTGGGTGTAATTATAGGATTTTATTACAAATTAGGGGACTGAGGATGGAAAACATGTCTTTTACACAAAACAAAAAAGGCCTGCAGCAGGTATAGAAATAATTCTAATAACAGACCACTGCGACCACCGTCTTCTGCTCTTCTTTCGCTTTTCTGTATTTTCTTACAGCTGTCGTCTAAATTTCTCTTTGTTGAAGCATCTCGGTGGTCGCCGTCTTGTAATCTCATAAATCTTTTCTTTTTGGTGTTATTGAGTGATAATTTAGTTTGGATTATCTTTACATATTCAGTTTATGCACAAAATAACGATGGCTCAAATAAGCCATCTGGTGTGATTTTTATTTTTATTTTTACAGTTTCAATACAACATATTTTTAAACATAATTTATTGCACGTAATCACTTTTTTTTAAAAGACTTAATTCATGTGTTTTGAAAGATACTGAAATTATTTCACCACTAACATAAAATTCAAACAATATTAAAACTAAAACACACAAGTGTAATCAGATTAACTTTTAATTATTGTATTAATTGCACCTTTTGCCTCTACTCATAGCAGTTCGTTCAGTTTAGTCTGATCTCCAAACATTACATGTTCACTGCGCTGTAGCTAAACATGTATTAGCTTTGTCTCGAGTGTGTTATTATTCTGAGAAATATAAATTTCCAGTGATTTGGTTTGCCAGTTCTAGAGAAACTAAAATTACCTGGTAGATCGGTGACCAGTGAGAACAGATAATTAAGTTACACTAATAATCTAGGAATATGTTCTCTAATTTTCTTTATATTAGAAAACCGCACCCTGTATTTGTAAACTTTATCCAAAGTGCAACGATATACAGTTAATGAAGGTGAAATTTACAAAAAGCGGTTTTCCTCCATCACAGAACGGGCCTTCAGACTCGCCCTCTGATTGGCTGAGCGTGTCCCATGCGTGTTGTGGTAAACAAAATCCGAGCTGCGTGTGCATGCGTAGATCAGGTAATGGAGGATAGTGATCTACTCACAGGGGGCTTAGTTAGCAGGCTGTCTGTTTTCTGTTATGTCCCTAGCCGACGTTTCTATTGACTGCGAGGTATTTGCAACACAAGGAACAACTTCTGAGTGAACCGAGAGCAGCTGGTAAGTGTTTGCATGTCGAGGTAGCTCCGCCGCAGAGTGCTAACTTCTGAACTCACGGTGCTAATCTGGTGGCTAAGCTAGCCGGAACTGCTATCCGGCTAATGTAGACGGTCGGGTGCAGTCTATTTCCTGACGTAGACACCATTGACTTGGTACTTTCACTGTTTGTGCAGTTTGTATAGCTCGGCTCAAACTGCCGTTCAAAACGACACGTTAGAGATTGTCTAGCTGTAATTTTTATTTTGTGAAATGTACATTCTTTTGTTGAGAACGCTAACGCTAGCTCCAGCTGAGTTTGCTAACAGCACTCGGGGATCTAGCTGCGGTGGGATATGTAATCCAGAGATTAGTCGCGTCTCATCGCGGTGTTAACGTGAATAAACGACAGGTTAGTTAACGCTAACTGTGTTGTGGTAGCTGCTTTTCCGTGGAGACACAAAGTTTGCATTCGGTAGTGTCCGTTACTTTGCACTGTCATGAACGTGGCCAGGGCTAAATGGGACTTGGAACACCAGTGCTATGCTATCAGACAAGCTAATGCTAATTTTACATTATGTGCCCATACCTGAATTAGCTCCTGCTTATTTAGCAAGTTAGCAGTGAGCTAATGTTAGCTGGCCCGGCTTCAGCAGTCGGGCCGAATTAAAGAGACGGTTAAAGAGACGCGGGCTTAACCAATCGGGGGTGGTAATAGCTTCTCCCCAGCGCCGTCCATGTTAGCCTATCCCACCCCACAGAGAGGAAACGTGTGATTTACCACTGCTCAACACATAGCAGAGACATTTACCTAAATGTATTTAAACAGGGTTATGCTTTCTGATCTCTCCAGGTTCTGCGCTGTTAACAGCACAAGACAGGAGGCATCTAATTTGTTAATGGGAATAATGTATAGCAACAAGGATACGACTACTTTCAGACATGCACTGAATAAACTTGTAAAGGCAGCATGCAAATGGTGTTCTTATCTGATTTACAGATAAAAAGCTTAAATTCTGACATGTTTAAATGTGTTCTCCACCACTGAGTTAATTAGTGATCTGATTGCATTATCAGTACACAAACTGTCCTTTGAGTAGTGAATACAACAGCCACTTTAAGCTTTATTCAAATGCCACAGATGACGAGAGAAAGACAAGAATGGGCTGTTGACATGCTGGATAGTGAGGTAGGATAGTTAGGGTTGCAGCCAGACGCTTCAACTTTCCATCATTCGTCGTCTAAGTTGGACCATCGTATCATGCTGTTATTGCCTGGTATGACAGTCAGTCTACCACATGATGCTCTGGATGTATACATTTGCCATTATGGGATCCTGTCCCCCATGTGTGACTCCTTACTGGCTTGTTATGTCTGGTCTGTGACCCCACTCGATCTGCCGGTTATCATTTCCAACATTGTGCATGCTGAGTTGTTTTATGGGGTCCGTTCTGTTGTAGTGATGTCATGTGTTGGATCAACACGTACTTATTGTCTTATGTTACCAAATATTGATAGATTTAATTAAATACTACATGTTTTGGTCCAGTATATTTCCACACAGTCCAGAAACATGCTGAGGTTAATTGGTGAATGTAAATTGTCCGTAGGTGTGAATGTGAGTGTGCTTGGTTGTCTGTCTCTAAGTGTAGCCCTGTGATAGACTGGTTACCTGTCCAGGTGAACCTGCCTTCACACCCTGAGTCAGCTGGGATAGACTCCAGCCCCCCATGACCCTAGTGAGGATTAAGCGGTGTATAGATGATGGATGGATGGAGGTGCAGGCCAAAATGCAAGAGTCAGTTAAGGCTGTCTGCCTTTTGGTACAAATTCGATGACATACTTCATTCATAACGATAACACACCAAAATACCAGATTGTAATGTCACGGTTTCCCCATTTCCGATCTGCAGGAGAAGTCCTTAAGTTGTGGGATGGCGTCTGACGTGGTTTCCCAAAACCATGGTTCCAAGGGGATCATGACTTTTTACCCCACTGCCGAGGAATTCAAGAATTTCAGCCGCTACATTGCATATATAGAGTCCCAGGGAGCACATAAAGCTGGTCTGGCAAAAGTAAGTACCAGCACGGTGTCTGGTTTCACTCACTTTCACTTTCTTTTTAATGTTTTTGTGATTATATTTGTTAGCAGCACAAATATCTCTAGTGTGAAGCTAATAATCGTCATATATCTGTTTTTATTCTATGAAATCATTTACACAAACACAAGGCTGTCTGTTCTTGAAATATTTTCACTCTGTATGTTTCAAACATGTGTACAACAGCCTGTCAGAAAAAAACAAGTCCTGGTAAAATAACAGAATCACTCACTGTCTGTTCTCTTCCTCCAAGATCGTCCCACCAAAGGAGTGGAAGCCCAGAAGTTCCTACGACGACATCGACGACTTGGTGATACCTGCGCCCATTCAGCAGGTGGTGACAGGCCAGTCGGGTCTCTTCACCCAGTACAACATTCAGAAGAAGTCCATGGCTGTCAGAGAGTTTCGCAAGATAGCCAACAGTGACAAGTGAGAAGAGATATACGCCTGCAACTGCATGGTAAAGGAGTTTATGATGTTGGTGCTCATTAAATGCTGTTAATATCTTTTATAGGTTCTGTAGTCCACATTACGATGACTTTGAGGAGCTGGAGAGGAAGTACTGGAAGAATGTGACGTTCAACCCTCCCATATACGGGGCAGATGTCAACGGAACCTTATATGACCCGGTGAGTTGGCGCTGTTTGGATGTTGTGATGGTGGTGAATGTATATTAGTACTGACGGGGTTTCTGGTAGTTCTCTGTGTAGCTGCCGGCCAGGTTTACAGGGGAAGCTCATAACGTCACTGATCGTAATGGCCTTTATGAGCGCCTCCAGGCTTATCAGGTGATCTTTTATCATTTTCTGTACTCTGGCAGGATGTCAAAGAGTGGAACATTTGCCACCTGGACACCATTTTGGATACCGTGGAGCGTGACAGCGGTATCACTATTGAGGGTGTCAATACACCCTACTTGTATTTCGGCATGTGGAAGACCACCTTTGCATGGCACACTGAGGACATGGACCTCTACAGTATCAACTACTTACACTTTGGAGAACCAAAGTCATGGTAAGACACGCGCTGCTCCGTGTTCTTGATTATAGATGCATAATCACAGACTCTAATGCAGTCGTGCATAAATTTAAGAAATGTTTTGATAATGACTTCCAACTCCTGCTTGAATCCCAAAAGCAGTTATGAATATGTGTTCCTAGATGTCTGTGTGGGTCCAATGTTTGCTAAGCCACATTATAATGATTTACATGAGTAAGAGTCGCCCCACAAGACTATGATTTATAGAAATGTTGTATATTGAGACCAAAAAATAAAAATGGTTCCCTACTTTGGGAAGTATAGCTTCATCTGACAGCCTGAGCATTAGCCCATTAAGTTGGAATACCACGTAGAAAAACTTGTCATGCCCATAAATACCCTGCAGTGTTTGTATCTATAATGTCTATATATGCGCCTTATGTCAGGCTGTGAACAGTAGATGGATAAATACTCACTCATGCTACCTGCAGGTACTGTGTTCCTCCGGAGCATGGCAAAAGACTGGAGCGTCTGGCTAAAGGTAGGAGACCAGTGGAGTATTTTCCTTACGTACCTAATACCCTAAACGTTACAGAAAGCAGCACTTTGTAGTTCTATATGTTAAAGCATTTCCTGTCTCTTCTTCTAGGGTTCTTTCCTGGTAGTGCTCAAAACTGTGAAGCGTTTCTAAGACACAAGATGACGCTCATCTCTCCCTCCATACTGAAGAAATATGGCATTCCATTTGAGAAGGTAACAGAGCATTCGTTGGTTTGTGTTTCAAACACGGGACCTCTTGTTTATACCGAATCAAAGGTTAAATCTATGAACCAATGATTAAAATATATATTTTTTTATTACCTCTTCCTCAGATCACTCAGGAGGCTGGTCAGTTCATGGTAACCTTCCCCTACGCCTATCATGCTGGCTTCAACCACGGCTTCAACTGTGCAGAGTCCACCAACTTTGCCACGGAGAGATGGATCGAGTACGGCAAGCAGGCAGTTCTGGTGAGAACAATGACCGGCAGCATGGGAAATCGTAGCCTTATCTGTGTTTGTCTCAGTAAGAAGAACGAAAACATTTACGTGGTCGACTGAATGTTATAAGTGAACATGCAGCAATGATTCCTGAAGCCACAGTCTGTCTGTGTTTCCTCGTCAGTGCTCATGCCGTAAAGACATGGTGAAGATTTCCATGGACGTGTTTGTGAAGAAGTTCCAGCCTGATCGCTATGAGCAGTGGCTGGCAGGGCGGGACGTGGTGCCCATCGACCACTCACGGCCCACCCCGGAGGCGAAGGAGTTCCTGGGCGACTCCTTTAACGACGTCACCAGCAGCAACAACAGTAGCTCCATCGAGTGCTGTGGGGAGGACGGAGAGCGGAAGAGGTGGGTCCTTCACTCTCAGTGTCTCTTGTCGGTGTGCCTTCGCTGTGCCTTCGTTTGGCATCAGTGCACTTTGGTTTTGCTCAGTCAGCCAAGAAGCTACTGAAGTGTTGTGTTTAGGGACACATGATGGATAAAATCAATCACAAGCAGAATTTCATTTTCAGTTTTCATTTCCAACACTTTACAGATGTTCTTTCTCAGAAAAAATGAGTGTTGGTCAGTTTGTTTTGGAGGTTGAGTTCAGGGACCCGTTCAAGACTTTAAGCTGTGATCTGATAGCTCTGCCATCACCGGGTGTTCGTGATTGGGTTTGCTTAACTTCAGATAGACGATGCGAGCATTGCAGCTGATGTACAACCTGCACTGTGAGAAAGTGCAAACGGTAAACCACATGCTGCAACCATGTAGCTGCTGGAAGACATCGACCAACAGCTGGACTTGTGGTTTAACCACAACCAGAGAGCGGCGTTTCATTTAGCGTCGCTGATGTCAGGTGACTGACTACGAGAACGAGTTGCTCTAAATGGAAAAAAAACACGACCCAGATAGAGCTACTTGGATTTTGTGCTGTTATATAATAGTTTCTTGATCAATTATTACTTTATTTACCTAAGTTTTTGAAAAGGGGTTATTTTTTTGTGTCTGTTTCACATAGAAATTTACATTGCAGTATATGTATGATCTATATGTTGTCAAGAAACCAAGACAGAAATCACCCAGTGAAAATGGCAACTAACAAGAGGACAGTATATTTGGTTTCCCTAAAATACTGACATGTTAAATGGAAGATTGGAGCGTGGGAATCTAGTCACAGTCTATGCTCTCGGTCCCTCAGACACCTGATGTTTACGGTGATCAAAATTAACCTATAAGTAACCTGTTGATCAGAAACTAGAAGTACATGTGAGGAAGTTCTTTTGATCTCAGCTCCTTCTAATCCTCTGTCCCATATGCTTTTCTACATTCAGCGCTACACAAAGGATCGAGACCAAGAGACACCGTGTGTGTCTGGAGGTGCCTGAAGAGGTTGTTCCCAAAGATGAAGATGAGGATGATATGGAGCAGTACGGAAAGCGTCCCAGGCTCAGTCTTATACCTCCACGAACTACTGTACCAGACGGCAAGAGAAATAAAGGTATTATCATTGTCCTGACTTCCTGTACGGCGCCTAAGACTTTGATAATGTTTGTTTTCAGTGGAATGAAAGTCTGCGTTTTCTCCCTCTGATTTAATCTGCAGGCCCACCAAAGTTGGTCGTCACACCAACCAAGCTGACGTTAATGGATCCATTTCACAGGGGCCTGACCCACGGTAACAGTGACGGAGGCCGTCCTCCTCATTACACGAAGACTCGTGCGCCTGCAATCTCATCTCAGTCTCAGCCCAGAAATGGACATCTGTCAGTTTCAGTGGCACCAACGTGGACAGAAGCCGCAGCTCAGCCTGCCCGTAAAATGGGGGTGGCCAGCCTGCTCTTCCACAGGACTCTGAGTCCAAAGGATGCTCTTCAAGTGCACAGCTACACTCTGGAAAGCCAGCGGCAGCCTCACACACAGCTCCAGGTGCACAGCTACGCCAGAGAGCACCAGCCCCGTCATCTCCAGCACAAAGCCTGCACACCATTACATACACAGGTTCAGGCTCCATCTCAGGCCCCGAGCTGCCAGAGACTGGAGCCACAGCCAGAATCTAAAGTCGTTGTTACCAAAGTAGCACAGAGTGAACCAGAAGCACAGAAGCCTGTGGTGCAAGACCAAGAGGACAACAAACCCAAAGTGTCGAAGCCGATTGAAAGTCAAGCAGAAGTGGAGAAGATGGAAGTCAAACCGACCGTCACTTCTGCTCCCCCTCAGACCCAAATGCAGCCTCAAGACGTGAGCAACGAAACGATGGAGGCTCCCAAGAACAACAAGCGAAAGGTCTGTTTGTTATTTTCAAACTGAATTTTCTACCTGCTCACGTCTAAGATGTAAGAAATGAAATGTCACTGTGGATTTAAGTTGTTTGGTTGCAGCTGTTGTCATCTCTGTCAAGTCATCAGTGAGTTATCAAGAGCAGCTTTTAACTGCATCCCTGCTGTGTAGCCTCTCCAGAAAGTTAGTTCAACAGGTTTAGAATCTAAGAGTGAGCTTTGACTGGAGACTGAGAGGGCAGCTCATCAGAGACCATGCAGATTCATCTTCACAGAAAACCAAACAAACAAAGCAGCAGCACTGAATAAGTTAAGTCTGAGTAATGAAACGAGTCAAAACGTTAACACGATTATGTCTTATTCAGCACATTCGACCCGTCCATCATGTAGCAGACCTCCACATTGGACGGTAAATTAAACGATTAATTATCCTCCTTACAGGAGACTAGAGACAAAAGTATAGAGCAAACAAAATAACACCCAGAACATATGCTTCTGGTTCATAGTTAAACATTTTCCCAACAGCATTTATTAACTTTAATATGTAAAGTTAAGCATAGTAACCAAAATGCTAGTAAAACAAGTTAAACTAAAATATATATATTATTAAAAAAAGGCTTTCTTAACTTGTGTTTAGGCACCATAGTCATTCTGACTACGAGATATTTAGGATATTCTCCAGTATGGCATCATGACTATGATGAGATGGTTCCTTTAATAAAGCCAGTTGCAGCATGAGATCAGATTATTTTGAGGAGAGATTTATTTTCAATATACTCACATGTTGTAGTGCAGAGGAACTAATCGCCCTAAATAACCTGCCAGCTGTTTTAATGTCCACAAATTAAATGTCAAAGACGTAGAGTCCGTAGGTTTTATTCTGACTTGAAGATGAATCCCTCGTGTCATATTTGAATGTAAACAGAACGAGCTGCCTCTGCTGTTGGCTGATTGTAGCAGTGGTGATACGAGTAAACTGTGGGTGATGAACTAATATCCAACAGGGATTATTCTTGACATGTAAATGGATGTGATTCAGACAGAACTGAGCACCAAGCAGGTGAAGTTTAGTTCAGTAAGTTACAGCACTAACTGACCTAGGAGTTATTGTAATGTCTATTTCTAGAACCTAACAGTCCCTGAGCTTCTCTTTGATCAGTGTTCACAAACTCAGGAGTTTTCATTACAACTGTACAGCCCTCTTGTGCAAGTAGGACGAAAACAAACCCAGAACTTTTTTTTTTGCTCTGTACTGGTGCACTTTCCTTGCATGATGTTTGCACGCTAACACCTCTGAGCTGCTGGACGCTCTCTCTGATGGCAGAATACGCTTGATAGAGACGTTCTTCCAAACCCTGCCATGAGTTTTCAATGTTCCTCATGCTGTTTAAACCACAGAGTAACCAATGCCCCCTTGCGGATAACGGCATTATCCTCCTGAAAGACACCATTCCTGTCAGCAAACCAGTCCAAGATGAGGTGAAGGTGATTCCTCACAATCATCACGTAAGTACTTGTTTCCTGTGACCAGGTTCTTGAAGGAACGTGATGTTTATCTGCATAAGTATGCACACCAGTACAGAGCTCCCAGCAGGCCTCAGTGTGGGGAGAATCTGTGACCAATGATGTTCATGTGTTCATTACAACACATAGAGGGCAGTTCTTGTTTTGAAGTTGTGTGTTGTTATACACCTCTTGCTCCAGCAGGTGTCAGAAGAGCAGTCCTACTGCAAGGCGCTGGTGTCAAAGCAGCAACAGCAACAACAACAACAACAACAGCAGCAGCAGCAGCAGCAGCAGCAAGCACAGCTCTGTAAGCTGCCTCGCCACCACCCTCTAATCAGGGAGCTGCACAGTGACGATGGTGGGTAGTTATTTAGTAAATGTGCCTAATGTGGTAGTATGTAGTGGTAAAGTTTTCCAGGCACTGTGTTTACTGTGATAATTATAGGTCCTGTTTTAAGAGCTGTTGCTGCTCATTTTGTGCTATTACCAAGATATAATTTATATCAGCCCATCATAGGGATCTCCAGCTCCGGCCCTCCTGAGCTGCTGTCCTGCAGGTTGTAGACGTTACTGCAACACATCTGACTCAGAACAAGCTGCTGTAGATCCATTAGTGTGAGTCAGGTGTGTTGCAGTAACGTCTAAAACCGGCTCACGAGGACTCTAGCTGGAGATCCCTGGCCGATCATGATTTACATTTCTTACGTCTCTCTCATCCTGTCACCTTATTATTTCTTAACTGTTATGCTTTTCACCTCCATTCACACCCCTCCTTCGTCTCGTCTGCCATCTTTTTACAGATGTGTATGTTGATGTGGAGGTTGAACAAGAGGAGAAAGAGGAGTGGGCAAAGCCGCTAACTCAGCTGTGGCAGTGTCGACCGTACAACCCCGAGGCAGAGAAGGACTACAACAGAAGCATGGGCCAGCAGACGCCCTACTGCTCCATCTGCCTGCTCTTCCACACCTACCATCAGGTCGCGGCTCAGGACATGTTCTGCTTTAATGATGTCTGTTGTTTGTCTTTTTACTGTTCTTTTATATTATTGTTTTGTGGATAAACTTTTCTATTCAAACTTAAACACAGGAGTCAGTGGACATTAGAAGCAGTCATAAAAAGACAAATGTTTGCATAATGTGTTTATTTTTGCTTGGTGGATTTTATACGAAGTTAAAGGCAACAGCAAGTTATTAATAATTCAAGATTTAAATGTACGTACAGTGCATTTATTTTTAAAGGAAACAAACGTACTATATGTTTGGTGAGTTTAGTTTACTGTGGCATTGTTTTAATGATCTTAACACCGGTTAGGGTCACTTGTTTGAAGCGATCTCTGTGACTTCTTTGTTGTTGATTTAATATCTTCAGTAATATCTTAACAAATTCCTTTTTTGTCCCCTGAAGTCGGAGTCCAGTAGCGGTAGTTCCACTGTGACGCTGGTGAACCGTCCTGGAGGGCAGCAGTGGTCCAAACCGCTCATCCCCGAAATGTGCTTCAACACCCAATCCAGCAAGACGAGCGACAGCGGGGAGGGACAGCTGTCCAACCCTCACGTAGCAGAGGACGGGACCAGCCGGCTGCTCAGCTGTGCCCAGTGCTGCGTCCGTGTGCATACAAGTAAGCCCCTTCCTCTGATGAGCAGAGATCTGTCTGTAATACTTGGAACACTTGAGGGTAAATGAAATATCTCTGACGTGCAGGTCCTTTCCTATTCTTCAGGAAACCACCATTCAACTGTTATCTGCTGTTGCAAACCGTCAAACACAGTCATAACTCGAGGCCTGTCTGTACTGCTGACAGCTGGTAGTTTGGAGGGATTTTCTGTTTTATTTACGCTGGTTCCTCTTGAAAGCAGGCCTGTGTTTGCCCCCATGTTTTTAATGATGCTGTTTTCAGTAGGTGTAACTTACAATCTTGTTGTTTAGTTGCTTAAGCTAAAAGATAAATCCCAGAACACCTCTGATAGCAGCCAGCCAGACAAAACAAATAACCAAGCTCTGAGCTGCAGTCTGACGGCTGAATGTGTTCTTTTCTGGTCCTGTTCAGGTTGTTACGGCGTGTCTGGGGACGAGGCGGACCTGGACGACTGGCTGTGTGCCCGTTGTGAGGCTGATGCTATCACAGAGGTTAGTTAATTGGGCTAGGACATCTCACAGCAGATCATTCAAGGAAAAATTATTTAAATTGCTCCTTGTAGTAATGACCAGGAACAGAGAAGCAGAGTGGTTGTGTCTTTGTACTACACTGCCTCATGTCATGCAACGTTTGGTTCTGGTAAGTGATGAGGGTGCTGCTGTCAGAAGATCTTTACAGAGATCAACAGTTCAGCACAGTGGAAAGGTTAGGACAACCTAGAACAATAAGACATATTAAAATCAAATCAAGCTCATCGTCATCCTGCCTGTACAAACAACAGCAGTACAGGCAAGATGAGAGAGCGTTTCTTCCAGTAACTAAAGCCAATTAAATAAAGAAGTGTTTGCAAATCTGGATCAGCAGTTCAGCATTCTGACAGCTGGTGGCATGAAGCTGCTGATCAGTCTGGAGGTTCTTCCTTTAACGCTCCTGAAACGTTTGTCTGATGGCAGCAGTTCAGACGGTTCATGGAGAGGGTGTGAGGAGTCCCTGACAATGTTCAGGGTCCTGCTGGAGAAGTTCATAGCTGTCTGTCTGTCTGTCTGCATCCCCTCCAGCTGTCTGCCCGTCTGGGATGCTGTCATAGAGCCATGTTTCTGTTAAAGCAGACACACAGCAGTCCCTCCACTCTGTGAGGGTTTATCCCAGCAAACGTCCAGCTTGTTGTGGAGGGAGCGAACATTGGAGAGCAGGAGGACGGTCCTGCTGGTCTGGAGGGGTTAGCCTTTAGCCTACCATGGATCCTGCTGGTCTGGAGGGGTTAGCCTTTAGCCTAGCATGGATCCTGCTGGTCTGGAGGGGTTAGCCTTTAGCCTAGCATGGATCCTGACTCTCTTCCTCCTCCTTTGTTTACGTTCGTCCTGCTTCCTTCTCTCTCGGGTGACATCTGTTTTGGTATCTATAAAATAATACATTTTCCTGACTTTACTGAATGCACTGACCTTACATGTGTAATATCTGCTGCTTGTTCAGAGCACAAATGCACTTGATCGCAAAAAGCAGATGGTCCAGAAAAACCTAGAAAGAAAGCCATATTGTACCAGTGACGGTTCAACATTAAAACCACACAGCTCATTTCCTCAGATGTAAAGACCAGTGGTACCAGTGTGCAGGATGGTTACTCTTGTGGTTGTCTCGCGTCATCAAACCAATCTGTGCTGCGTTTCATTATCATTCCGCTAAAGGGGAAATGCTCTGACTTGTCTGTATGTTTTTTTAAATACGATTATAATCGCGTCTCATAGAGTAGCGCCATGCTAGTGGCAGCCAGCTGCAGTATCTCCAGAAGTTCTATCTTTAACCAAACACAATTGTATTTAAAACAGTGTTGGGAGAACTTTGTAGGAACATCTGAATGCAGGGAGGAAACCGGTGTGAGTGGCAGTTTGGTGCATACAAAAACAGCAGCAAGTCGGCAGTGGAAGGGGAGGAGGAAGCTGCACGAAGAGCGCAGCCAATAGTAGGCTTCTACCTGCAGCATACAAGCGTTGAGTCATATTATCCCATGTGAAAGATCACAAGATAAACTTTTACTATGCCCCGTGGGCACACTGAAGTTTTTCTTTCTTGATTGAAGTCGACTGCAGCTGCTGGTGCTCCAACCGCTGCAGCATTATTGTGTCATGATGACATATTAGTGCTTCTGCAGCTCCATGTTCACTGTTTTACGAACAGAGAACAAACATGTAGGAGTACCCAAAAGCACAATATAAAGTGTAATGTTCCACATCAGCACCACAGACAGGTACTGGAGCTGCAGCTGACCAAAACAAACTGTGTTCCAGCACTTCCTCTGTGCACAGACAGTGAGAGTGTTCCCTTCCTCTGAGTGTTTTGGTTCGGGGAATTTGTTTTTCCCACCTTTGTTTGTCAAATTTATCTTCAAATTTCCTTTGCTTTCAGCATTCCTCTGTGCTCAGAACAATAGATGTTTGTTAAACATGCTGGGAATGTCGTTTGAATTCAGCTCTTTGGCCACCAGTGGGCAATGCTCCACTCTGTGCTTCATTCAAACACCTTAAAGGACTTTGATTTTTCACTTCTCTAGTTTCATTTCAGTTTAGATTCTGGGATATCCAACAGTTCTCCTTATGACAGTATGTTAATATGTTTAATGGTTTATTTTGTGGATCTGTTGGATGTCCTGTTCCCACAGATTTGTTCAGAGGTTTTCTGGCTGTTCATCATGTTGTTAGTGTAGCTCAGAACTTGAGCAGCGGTCAGGATGTCCCCGTCAGGTTGTTATTTCCTCCTGATTCTGATCAGTAATCTTGTATTTGATGAGTCCAGGCGTCGTCTTTGGAGCGCTTCCTTGCCCACAAACAACACACGGATGTTTAAATGCTGTTCAAGCCAACGCTTCAGAGGAGAGGTGGACTTAAAAAACGTTTCTGATAGAGAGGGAAAGCTGGTCGGTGTCCATCTGACTGAACCTGCTGCTGCTGCTTGTTTATTGGTGAGGCTCTGATTTGGTCTGTTGTACGTGAGCGTGCTGTAAGACGGTGAAGCGTAGCTGACAGACGCACAGTGGGTTTTTGAGAAACAGAGGATCAGCAACAGATGAAGCTTCATATGTCGTATATCCGGCTGTAAGGTCTCTCAGTGGTTAGCACCGTGGCCTCACAGCTCGAAGATCGCCGGTTGGGGTCCCGGTGAGGACACCCGGGATCTTTCTGCGTGGAGTCTCCATGTTCTCCCCGTGCTGCGTGGGTTTCCGGGTTCTCTCTGGCTTCCTCCCACACAGTCCAGAAACATGCTGAGGTTAATTGGTGATTGTAAATTGTCCGTAGGTGTGAATGTGAGTGTGCTTGGTTGTCTGTCTCTAAGTGTAGCCCTGTGATAGACTGGTTACCTGTCCAGGTGAACCTGCCTTCACCCTGAGTCAGCTGGGATAGACTCCGCCCCCCACCACCCGAGTGAGGATTAAGGTGTAGAGATGATTGATGTCATATATCCAGTAGCAGAGACATATTTATCCCCATTTGGAGCTATAAATAATATGCAGCAGACCATTATTTATCCAAACATCCACATTTAGATGTGATGAGATGAATTAGTCGTGTACCAGAGTCAGTAGCTAACATGTTGTCGTGTGTTTCTTCCTGTAGGACTGCTGTCTGTGTTCCCTGAGAGGTGGAGCTCTGCAGAGAGCCAACAACGACAGGTGAGTAGCACCAGCGGACAGGAGTGCTGTCGCTGTGGTGGAGGAGAAAACGCTGACTGAGCTTCTTAGTTACATCCAGCATCAGGGCGTCACAAAGACGGACGCTTTTCCTCGACGCTGATCGTTGGATTTATAAGAAGTAAAATGTAGACACCTGTGCTGTAAATTCAAGTTCTCCTCTGTCACAGTCACAAAACTGTGACAGTAAAGGAAAGACAGGATGGATTCGCATTCACAGAACAACTCGGTCACCATGAGTCTGACCGGCTGAGACGCAGCAGGTTGTTGCCCAACATTTACTGTCCTTGACCGTGTTGCTGCTGCCCATTTCTTCAGCCTGTCTCTGCTCACATCCATCTGGTGGCGTCAGCACTTCCAGAGAAGCTCATTTGTCAGATGCAAACATGTGTACACGGTGCACATGTGTGTGGGTGGAGATCACACACACTCAGTTTGTGGTTAGCTTGTCGCTCAGCGTAGGGCGCGATAAGTGTATGTCAGTTTAAATTACAGGAAATGCCTCCAACAGAAGCAGGGTTTCCTCATCAGCCAACCATCATGACAGCAGGGGCTCTGCTTGGCTGCTGCTCCTTATCGTCGTTCAGGGTTAA